GGCCCTAGCCTTGCGATACCCTTCCTCTACTTACTACTTACCCTGGCCTGTTGGCTCGGAGCCCGACCTGATTACCACCCTCGGACCAGATGCGCGCAGAGCATCCAAGACCTCTCTTCCAACACTACCCTGTTTCACTCGTGCCCCCAAACAAGCCTTATGCAGCTGTAATTTGACTCGGAAACGCCCTTCGTTGGTCGCTCGAAGCCGAAAACGCCGGTCGGCAGGGATGCTTTCTCAGCGGAAGCCGGCCCTGGAACCTCTTCCTGGCACACGAGTCGATGCCGAATCGGAAATAAGTCAAGAGTGCTGATACACAGCCGCAGTGGCCTGACTCCAGCGCCCTCGAGGAAGAAAAAATTATCGCAGCATCAAGTCAACTGTCACCGCGACGCAACGGTTGGGTCGCGTTTACGTCGTTGCCCTCTGCCATCTTGGCTCAAAGCAGCAAGATCTTCAGGCACAATGCTCTCATACCAACATCAACCACCCTTTCCTCGCCAGCCGACGCCCCAAGGATCCATGGCTAAGCAACGCAGTCCAGGCCCTTGGAGCGGTGAAGGCAATCATATCGACAGGGCAGCCTGGCATGAGTCAGAGCTGACGGGTGTATCCCATGGCAGACCAGGATTCATGTTCTTGTCGCGGATAACTATAGATCCACTCCCGTAGCAACGTCACTGCGCTGCGCAAGCACCTCTTGGGCGCCATGCCAGGGGTTTCGCTTTTCTTCCATGCTAAGTACTCGTAGTTGACAGCCCTGTGTACTTACACGTAGTCACGGGAGCCCAAAGCCGAAAAGAAATAAAAGAAAAGAAAAAAGAACCACCAATCGGACCATACAATCCATATACTAGTCTCACACAAACTGGTTTTCAATGCACATATATCCGTATCTGACTGGTATTGCATTGCTAAGACTAAGAAAGCAATATCAAATGCATCCGACGCTCCGGTCCCAATTGCCGGGGTATCAAGCCAGAAAACCAAAAGCAGCTATCTTCCAATCTCCATAAACCGAATACCCATACACCCGCATCCAGCCGCACCCCTAACCTAGACTCCCTTCAAACGCCACATAGTACATAGAATCATATCCACAGTCACTCATCCTGTACGAAATCCCTCTGGTACCTTCAATCCCGTGGGCCAGTCACTTCGGCGCCTAAAGTGCCAGCCGCCACCTGTCCAAGTCCACCAAAGAAAGCAAGGAACAGGGCCAGCGCAGTCGATTCTCCAGCAGACACCACGTCACCGTCTGACAACGACCCATCCGATTCCATGGCCTCGACTTCTCGTTTCGTCTCTTCGCTTGGCTGATACGTAGTGTCCTGCTCGTCTTCCAACACATCCGCGTCAGATTCAGGGCTGTACACTTTTCCCCTGGTGCTCCGCCTGACAGGTCCAGTTGCAGAAGCCGGCTGCGCTGCGCTAAATGAGCCATTCACCCTCTTTGAAGGACGCCCACGCTTCTTAGGCGTAGTCGTTTCAAGAGCTGGCGGTGGCTCCTCGACGTGTTCCATGACTCTTGCCAATTCTTTCTTGAAAGTAACATGTTTTTCCTGGCTGGGTACCAGAAAAGAGAGTACGCTACTTTCCAGTATCGAATGAACATCTAGGTCTCTTATAAAGGTCCAGGTGAGCAGACTGATGGTGGTAAAGAACACATCAAGACTTGTAACACTAATAGCAGGATGTGTGCTGATGTGCTTGAGTTTCTGACCAGCATTGCTGATAGTCGCCAGAAGCTTGTTCGTATGAGGCGAATCGCTCCTTCCAAACGAATGTGCAAACATGTCCAAGACATGAGACCGCGAAGAGGGCCGGTTCACGTAGAGCAGAGTTGCCCAGACCCGCCAGTACACCAGGATAGAAGCCAGTGACAATGCGTAAAAGACCTTGGCATAAGAGCGGTGGGCTGCTGCCTTAGATATATGTTGATGACCAAGTGAGTAAGGAACAATCTGGATCCTGATTAGGCGAGAATGTCATAGCAGAAGCGCGCTACATACCTGTGGCGCAAAGGCGAAAGCAAGAGGCATGGCTAGATAGCTCACTCGCATCATGCTCTTGTCGCCAAACTCTGACACCAGCTGTGGGAACAAGTTGAGAGTGACGAGTGACGCGACAATACCCATGTCGTAAACGAAAGCGTACGGTGTGAAGAGCGTGTCATGTCGCGGCGAGTCCCCATTCTGCAGAGTTAGAGGTGTGTACAAGATGGTGATGAAGAACAAGCTCAAGGAATATCCCAGGCTTCCAATGGAGCTCAGCAGTACGAAAGACGCAATAGTAGTATCAGAGAGATTGCGCCTGCGTCCTAGAAGGGAACAAGTTAGCGACACACTCTAGAGAATCTCATGTACGGGATTGTTGATGGTATTCTGCGTACCTTCAGCACCCATAAAGATAGAGCTTGCTATCAGCCCCACAAAGTATTGGCTGGTGTAAAGGAATCCCTCGGGCTTCATGATTCCTACGGCGTCGAACTCGCGCACAAGATCTATATCGGCAATCCAATCGCCCAGATGCCATTGCCCTTGCTCACCAGTGCCATACCAACCACTCCATAAGCTCCCTGGGATATCCTGCTTTTTGTGCTCAGCCCATCGTACGTAGGAGATGGCGCGCCAAAGGAAGGCGAAGCTCCCTACTGAGAGCAGTGATATGAGCGCAATGGTGGAGAAGACAAAGGCATGACGTCGGCGCGTGGAGTCTTGAGAGCGCGTATGGGTTGATGGTGGCTGTGATCTGGCGGCGCGTCGAGTAGTGAGCAGAACGCGAGCCGTAAGGACTGTAACGAGCAAGACCTGCCCGCCGAAGAGTGCAATGGGAAGTGAGTTGCTCCTTGTGGCAGCGTCAGTCTCGACTGGCGCCATGGTTGCTGTGCGAAGTTTTGCGAAGATTAGACACTCAGATCAAGGCACATGGTGCGAAGGTGACAATAGTAGGTATGGAAAACAACAAAGCAAGCTGAACCAGCCTCAAGCAGCTCTCTCTTGTTTTGAACTGCGACGCGACCACAATTCCCCGCTCACGTCACTGCACGTCAATCTGGGAATCCCTGTCTCAAGCTAGGCCCAAATGAGCCCTAGCCGTCGATCTGGTACGGGCCGCCATCTTCGTTTTAGCATATGCGCGACGCGAACTCTCAACTCCAACGGCACCAATTCTGCATCCACCATGCCTCACACATACGGTGACGAGGACCTCGAAGTTGCCTCAGAAAAGTACCACGAGTCATCCGACGAAGACTTCGACCCCAATGCCGCCCCGGCCGAAGACGCATCGAGCTCTGAGGACGAAGACCATGTCACCATAGAGCCTGCACAACGCAAAGGCAAGCGAAAAGCGCATCAGGATGAGGAGCTGGACTCTGGAGATGAGGTCACCATACAAGCTGCGCGACGCAAGCGGTCGAAGAAGAAAGGGGGCAAGGGCAACAAAGACGACGATACCGAGCTGATTATATCCGACGATGAAGGTGGGGAGGGTGGCTTGGTCAAGACGCGGGCACAAAGAAGAACAGAGGGCAAAGAGGCCAGGCCGCTCGCAAGAACCGAGGGTGCGACCGTCGATGTCGATGCGCTATGGGCTCAGATGATGGCAGCGCCTCTAAAGCCACTACAAGAGTCCAAGACGCAAGAAGCCAATGCGCCAACGCAGCACACGCCCGTAACCAACATCCAAGTATCAGCCGAGGAAGAGGAACAGCTCACTGTCAAAAAAACCTTCACTTTCGCCGGCCAGGACACAACCGAAGAGAAGCAAATCCCCCGCTCCCAACTCGACAAGTACCTCAAAGACGGCTGGAAACAAGCCGAAGCCACACCTGCCGCCGAATCCCCCGCTCACTCCTCTTCCTCCCAACCCGACTCCAAAATCCGTCGCCCACTTCGCCGCCCCTCCCGCTTCGACCCCAACCCAACCGGCTATGTGCGCGCCCTCGCCCCAGAATTCCAACTCTCCTGGCCCCGCACCTCCACCCGCCCAGAACCAGAAACCGCCGCAGACCCAGACGCAGCCGCACTCCCCAAGAAAGCAGAGAAGACTCAGAAACTCAACGTCGTCGACAAGTCACGCATGGACTGGACGGGCTTCGTCGATAAAGAAGGAATCGCAGAGGAACTCGATACGCATGGTAAAACGAAAGAGGCGTATCTGGGCCGCATGGAGTTCTTGGCTGGTGTTGAGGCGAGGAGGGAGGAGGAGAGGAGGAATGCGAAGATTAAGGCTGTGGCGGCGGCGGCGGCGCAGCAGCAGCAGCATACGGTGGGTTGAGTTGAAGGGGCTTTGACATGGATAGGCTGTGTCGTAGCACGTATGTGTGCAGTTTTGTTTGTTGTTCATGATACCCATATATATTATTTAAGTAGAAGAAGAAAATATGAATGTATATACTCATCGAATAGTACTGCATGATCGGATTTGCTACGGGTGATGGCTAGGGTGGCTTGTTTGTACGTGGTCGCTGCAAAAGGAGATATCACGATAGTGTGGAAGTGGACTGGCACATTGCTTTTTGCATGGGAAAAAACAAAAAAAACACTTGCATGCTATGGAACCAAGTCACATGATGAAAAAATGAAAAAAAAGTCGCAATTGCAAACAAAGCAGAAAGTATTCAAACACGCAAGGTCGGCCCCAAGACATCTGCTGTTCCGAGCCAATGGATACATGCAACTGGGCAATGTATGAAATGACAGTAATGGAAATCCCGATGTACCCAGTCACAACTCTTATATTTCCCCCCTCTTTTTTCGGTGTTTTCCCTTGTCTTTCCCTTTCTCTTTCCTCTATCGTCGTCTTCTTCTCCTTCTCCAACAAATATGATACTACAATCATTCAAGATGTAGTAATGAATGGCATAGTGAGGCGTTGGGGTCGACTCGACAACTAAAAGCGCAAGTGCTGATGACATGTGGTATCGTTGCTTGCGCCAATAACTCGTCGAGATGACCGCGTGTGCCGTTGAACAAATGAGAATGGTATCCTTATTCTCAATACACGTCACCAAGATCCGCGAATTGATCTTCGAGAGCAGTAACAAAATCGTAGTCGTCTTCATTCATATAGTCCACTTCATCGTCGTAGGTTATGGTTTTGATGCGTCTTGGTTTGAGGTTCGCGCGGATGGGCAGTACCACGGATCTGGTCCCTTCGAAGCTTTCGGCCTTGAGCTTTGAAAGCGTGTATCCGGCCATCATGAAGATAAACCTCAATTTCTCGGGCCACGGATATCTGCTGTAGAGTGCCGATGCTTTGACCGTGTCCCAGTGACATGATCCATGCCGACGATAAGGTGCCATCCATGGCCTGATATTAGGATCGTCTGGGCTATCAGGCTGTATAGCCAGGTAACTTTGATAGCATTCTTCGATTGAAGCATTCCGACTCTCTACCGTATACTTTGTGTTTTTCCATATTTCATTCCACGCACCATACACACGTTCGAGTTTTACGTTCAAAGAAGTGAGCTCTTTTCTGATCACAGCTGTTCCTTCATCATGAAGGTATTCGTATGGATATAGTAAGACTTCATCCCGTTCAGCAGCGCTCCCAAGTATCTCCTTGACTTTCTCCATCGTCTCAATGTTGTGTGCCCTCACGACATCGAAGTAGAGATAGTCCAGTACGTTGTCTGGTTTGTAACCGTAGTTTTTCTCACGACATTTCGGAGTATCTGTCGAGATCCTCAAATTTTTGCAGGCTTCAGCTGCCACTTTGTAGGCCGGATCTTTCAGGTTGCCACATAATGTCTTTACGGAGCTGTTGTAATTTTTCTGAGTGAGGATGTATCCTTGCTTACTTGCATCGACGAGGAGATCGTGCACATCGTAGAGCTTTTCAAGGGTTCCGGAATGAACGCAGTTTTCGCGATAGGCCTGTCTCTCTGCTAGGATGGTTGCTTGGCCTAGCAGCGATGAATGATCACGGAACTCGAAAGCTTTTTTCAAAAATCCATCCACTTTGTCGGGTTTTCGAACGTCCACAATCTTCTTGAGCTTCTCGGTTCTTGTTTCGATGCCATAAAGGGAAGGGTCAGGAGACTGAACTGGTGCAGGAGCATTGGAGAACGGCTGTACAAGTGTATCCTCCCAGCAAATCCAGAATATGTCGCCGTCATAATCGCCTCCCTGCAGTTTACCAGCCAGGGGAAAAGGACCTCTGGAGGGAAAGACAGCCACATCTACTAAATGAGACAGCTGGGGATGTATAACCGTCCGTACCTTCTGAATATCAGAGCGGCGACAAGCAGGCTGGCGGGCGACTAAGACTTCCAAGTCCCTGAGGTCCGAGTATGTCTCGTTGGTGGTCTCGTCGACGAATGGCCAAGAGAACAATATCTGAATCTCTCCAGGATTCAATACTCCCAATGGATCTGCCACTCCGTACAAGAACGTTGATTTCTGAAGCGGCACACGTAGTTTAGCCTCTTGAAATATATGTCTATTCTGAATAAAGGATTCGAGATTCTGAGCAAGATACGGAAACGTCAGAGGATCAAAGCCAGATTCCAGTAGGTTGAGAACCTTTTCTTCAAGAGATGCTGGCTGACCAGCTCTTCCAGGGGTTTCGCGAACCTTTGTGTTTGCTCCGTTTCGGTAAACCCACTCATGCACCTTTGTGGCGTCTTGAAGAACATCTAGTAGATTTATGCGCTCTTTTTCAAGAGAGTCAGACATGAGATCAGATATCGCCTCCTTTGACACACCCCTATCAGCCAAGATCGGAATGAATGATGAATGCAGCTCAGATGGAGATGGGGTCGAACTGTAGTTTGACACTTCGAAAGTTCGATGATGAGGAGACTGGTCGTTTGGTGGCTCGAATTTCCATTGACTCCTGTTGATCTCGATCCAGGGCTTCAGGTGAATCGGATCCTTGGTGAATTTTTCTGCGCTAATGACCCAAATTCCTTTAGCACCCCCTATACGCCCCTGAAAGGCACTAGGTAGTGGATCGGTAACGCCTGTAGCCTTGGTGTACAGATCCCATATCTTTTTCGCCGCACCCACTGACATGACGCAACAACCATCATCCATAACAGTACGGCCTGGGAAAGACGGCCAGTCCAGTGTTGTGTCATTGAATTGTGTGTCTTCTGGGTCATCTGTGCTCGTTTTGTCATCCACATGCCGGATTTCCTCTGTATCGAAGCACAAAGTAGGTATAGTCCGGGAAAGGCCAAGATCAATGCGAGCAAAAGCCTTACAGAAGTTTTGGTTTTTGTTGAGATCAATAGGTAAGAACTTGTTCAACATTTCGCCCACTGTATACGGTTGCTTAATGCCGGCCCCTTCTGTGGCAAATAGAATGATCCGCTTGTCGTGAAGCATATTCTCGCGACGAGACTTGTCCTTCCTTTTTAGGTTGTCAATATGAAACACTCTCCATTTGCGTCCCAAAAAAGAGTGCTCTGTTAGCAACCACTCTTGCCACTTCTTTTTGATTTTGACCATGTCATCGTAAACGACGCCATTTGTTTTAGAAGAATTAAATTCGGGCAAATCCAGATAGAGGAACCGATCTGAACCAAACATTCGCTGTAGCCGACAGGACTTTTCTTCTTGTATCGGTAGTAGCCTGAGACACATGATTGAGTCTGCTCGTCTGGAACTAAAACTGAGTTTTCCCTTGAAGGTAAAACCATCCTTCTCCCGATTTACTGCTTGCCAGAGGCGATTAGGGTCGCGTGATTTGACTGTAGGTCTTCCCAAACTCTTAAAGTGACAATCAATGGAGTGCCAAAATGTTTGTGGGTCAGTTAAGATGTTTGGGTCGTCAACAACATCCACAATCGTTCGCAATTGAACAGAGTATTCTAGCGCAATGCGCAGACAGATAAACAATACATGGTAGGGAATATTTTTCAGTTCCACTGGAAGCACTTCCACGAAGAGACTCTGCTTGGGTATGTCGCGTATGTGGTATGGCATCTTATCCGTTGAAGAATCGTGTTGCTGGTGGTTGGTGGTGACCCCAGAGGGTTGAAGGCAAACACCCGGACCTGGCCGATCTTGCTTTTTCTCAACTACGGCTGCCACCTTGACAAGTTCCTCATCATCTACAGAGCCAAAGGTAGATCTGCTTTGCCCGTTGCTGTCTTGGGAGAAGCTTTTATTGAGGTCGATCTGGATGTCTTGCTCACATACCCTGTCGCTTTGGGGAAAACTAGCAGATTGCATTTCCGCTAGGATCAAACTAGCGTCATCCAAGGAGTCTATTGTGGTAGAGCTCGTTCTGTTTGTCGTCTTTAATCTTGGGCTGGATTGTCCATAAGCATTGGTGTCGCCGTTAGACGATGCGAAAGAAGTCGCTGCAGTATTGGCGGTCTCCTGTGATGAGAAAATGCTGTTGTTGAAGGACGTATTTGCGGATGTCGGACCGGAATCAGGTCGAAGCGAGGGTGCCATGTCGATGGTTGGTATTTTGAACCGATCCTCTGTATTACGCGATATGTTGACTGCCTGCTTTCCTCTCAAGGTTTTTGTCAATTTTGACGAGGTTCCATAATGATTGGAGTTCTCCAAGGGCCGTTTCCTTGCTGAATGCAATGAGACAGGTTTACTTGCCTGGGATGCCTTTGCTCGCCTAGAAGATGGAGAAGGCGATGGAGATCGTGCGTCAAACCGTGGGTCGATTTCATTGTCGGAGTCTTCATCTGTAGGAGATCCTGGATCTGGAGCGGTCTTATACGATCTACATGACTCAAGTGATGCTCGCTGATCTTTCTGGTCAAAATGTGGTGGACTAGGTGCCTGTGTTGTTTTGGTTGATTCTGTCTTCAGGTTAGTATTTATACGCATGGGGCTGAGCCCACGAAACACGGAGACCTAAACCTCAAGCTGTCATAGAAAGTGCCAATGTAGTCGACATGCCTGTGGCGTACAAATGCCAGAAACTGGGGAGTCTGTCAGGAAAAGGAGTACTGACTGCGAGAAGAAGAAATAGGGCTTCTGGGCTGGCTAATGTTGTGCGTCTGGGTCTTTAGGGACGGTCTGTATGTCTTAAATGTATCTGACAGTAACGTGTGAAAAAGACTAAGTCGCTCGTCGAGTCGTTTTTGCCGAGCCCTAGACTTGAACTCCTTAATTGTCTGCAGAAGGGCTTCCTTATTTCGGTAATACAGGAACTTGATAAACTCGTAGATTTGATTGCGTTCGTCATATCGGTTGAATTTTGATGGGGAATAGTGGCCACGAAGTTGGATGTTAAGATCGAAGTCTCTGTTGACAGATTCTATGAGTTTGTTGAGGTCTTCTCCTGCCTGGTAGCGGGGCGGCGTGCCTGGAAGCGAGGGAGGTGCGGGAGGACCCTTCGCCCTAGCATGATCCATCATGCGGGGCAACAGCTGTCCTGCTTGTCTGATACCAAATTCAAGGAATAACCAAAACACAAGCAAGTATGAGAATGTTAAGAAAAAGGAGTCTCGGGTGTGCCGGATTGTAAGGTTGGTCGAGGCAGCACTCCAAGGCTGAGAATACCTTGCCTGGGCGGCTATCGTTTCGGTGATGAGAGTGCTGGTCTGTGCACGACGCGTTCTCGCGGTGTCACGGGAGTCTCATTCACGCAAACGGAAAACCGGGTTTTCGCACCGCAACAAACAGAGGCCGTCTCGCTTATGCAAACAAGAAGCAGGGATCTGGAATTGACTAGATAAGTGGGGTTAGTATTTGATGTGCATAGAAGCCCACCCAACGATGCATTGACAGGGTACAGTAGCGGCACAAGGCAAGAAGTGGGGTGAATCGGGAAGAAAGAATAACATGTGTCACATATGACTCGATAACGGTCGTCTAGATTGGTGCCGTGTCGTTTTTTCGACTTGTGGCGGATATCCCAACCATGCAATAGGTATTCGTGAAATTCAAAATGAACCGTGAACCGACCCCGCGCCTTGAGCCGTCCAAGCTTAAACCTTCATCTCCTCGAGACCGTGCTTCCAGACAGTAACGAAGGGGGTGACACCATCCTCACGGTAGTTGAGGAGGACGATCATGCCGTCGGGGTTCATGGACTCGCCGGTGTAGAACTCGAAGTCCTTGAAGTTGGTAATGATCTTCTTGGCAAAAGACTGGGCTCCAGTCTCGAACTCCTTGATGGCGGCCTCGTCAGCACCCTTGGCCTTGAGGGCCTCCTTGACTGCCTTCATGTAGCCTGGTCATAGTTAGTACTGGTATCGTGGTGGACTGTGGTCATTTTACGCACCCTTGAGGTATGTGAGGTAGCCCTTCTTGTCGAAGCCCGTCTCGTTGAGGCGGAAAGAATGGACGACATCGATCTTGGTCTCGACCTGGTCTTCGGCACCCTCTTCCTGCTCCTCGGCGGAGGCATTGGCACCAGTGTCTGCAGGGGTGTTAGGCTAGGTAAGTGTATCGTTGTGGCACTAGCACGCACCGAAAGTCTCGCCTCCGATAGTGATCTTGGAGCAGTCGGCCTCGTAGGCGACGCCGTCAATCTCCTTGAGGTTGTACGAGTCGGAGATGATCTCGTCACCGGTGAGGATGTCCTGAAAACGTGTCAGTACTGTATGTCTGCATCAGGGGCAAGGCGCTTTTCCGCCGGCGCAGGCTGTAATGAAGCGCAACAGGGAAGGCGGGGTAGTTGCGCGGGCAGGGGCAACGGCGTGCGGGCAGGAGCAGCAACGCACCTTGTAAATGATCATATTGGCGGTGTGGTGTATGTGCAGATGTGGTGATGGGTGGGAGAAAGAGTGTCGGCTGGTCGGGGGGCTGGAGGATTCTTTCTTTCACTCGGGGCGGAAAGGAAGCGCGGGACTATAAGGGCGTGAGAGAGAATTTGGTGGGGTCGAAAATTGGGTTTGAGGGTGGTCTAGCCGGAAGTGGCCTGTGGCTAGTGGGTGGCGGCTCCAGTGCTGAGTATGCGCGCACAGGGCGTTGTGTGGCGGTGGAAGTGGCCTGGTTTCTCAGGCACTTTTGGTCCGGCTGGGCAGGCGAAATGTCATGATGCGCCCGTACGTCGCGCCAGTGCTTCTCCCTGTCACAGGCAAAGCACCAAGCAGCACCACCCTCACACGACTTTCTCCCTCGCCTCGCTCTGCTCTGCCCACCTCAGCCTCTCCTTTCCGAGCCCTCCGCCGCCGACCATTTCAACCAAGGGCTCATCCTCATTTGCCTCCCACCTGCACCTGCCGTTTATCCGTCTGCTGCATCGCTCCTTCTCCCTAATTTCCTTGCTCCACCGCTCCCGGGCTCTTGCTGTCGCCCGTCATCGCCCAAGCCTGCCCTGCGCCCCTCGACAAGCACTCTGCACTCCCCCAGTCGCCGTTGCATAGCTACACTTGCAATCCACAATTCGCTGCCCTGGAGCACCATTGCTGCACCATGGCGAGCGCAAACTCAACTGCATCCTACGACCTACCGCCGCTGCCTGAATACACCCTTCAGCCTCTACAGCCTCTCACATCATGGGCATCCGACGCCTTCATACAAGCCGCCCTCCCCGTTGTCGGCTACTGGTTCGTGTCCCTGATATTCCACGCCATTGACGTATACGACCTGTTTCCTCAATACCGACTGCACACGCCCGCAGAGGTCCTGAAGCGCAACCACGTCTCGCGATACGAAGTCCTGCGCGATGTCATACTCCAGCAGATCATTCAGATCATAGCGTCCTTCAGCCTCTCCATGTTCGACGATGCCCCAACTACTGGAAAAGCCGATTATGACGTCGCTTGGTATGCCCAGAAGATCCGCCTTGCACAGCGCGCAGTTCCATATGTCTTGTCCGCAGTTGGCCTTAATCCAGTCGCCCTGGCCTCAAAGCTTGCTTCGTCCCAGCCAGTTCTCTCTTCGGTCGTTGCTGGAGGGAGATACCCAGCGCTCCTACAGTCAGTAATAGTCGCCGGTGAGCAGACGCTGGTCCCGGCCTTTGCTTCCTGGGAACTGGCTGTCGCTAGCTTCGCCTACTGGTACGCCATCCCTGCGTTCCAATTTAGCGCTGCCATCGTCATCATGGATGCATGGGAATACATGCTGCATCGCGCAATGCACCTAAACAAGTGGTTATACGGTATGCTCGGCTCCTAAAATCCCCAGTGCTTAGCTAACATAGACAGTGACCTTCCACTCACGTCACCACCGACTCTACGTCCCGTATGCTTATGGTGCACTATACAATCACCCAATTGAAGGTTTTGCGCTAGACACCCTTGGCGCTGGTCTCAGCTACCTTCTCACCGGTCTGACCATGCGGCAATCCATGTGGTTCTTCACCGGCTCAACCATCAAGACTGTCCTTGACCATGGCGGCTATGCATTCCCCTACGACCCTATCCACTGGATCTTCCCCAACAATGCCGCGTACCATGATATCCACCACCAGAGCTGGGGCATCAAAACCAACTTCTCACAGCCATTCTTTGTCTACTTGGACCGTATCGGAGGCACCATGTACAAGGGCGACGTGGCTGCGAAGTACGAGCGCGCCCGTATCACGGCACAGCACAAGCTTGACCAAGAGAAGGAGAATGAGGCAACCGCTGTCCCGGCGACTACTGCAGTCTCCAGCCCATCTCAGGAGGACTCGTCGCTCCCACAAGGAGCTTCAACCCCCCGCATTTCAAGAAAAAAGGCGACCAGCATTTCATCATCGGCGGGAACAAACTTTAAAGATTTGACAAACAAAGTCAATCAAAATCTCCACGGCAGGAGAGCCAATGTTTTAGGGTTGGAGAGCTCACATTGATTCCACCCACTTGTTTCATTTGTAGACAAGAACCATCGGGTTGCTGTAGGTAATGTCTAGTCCTAGTGCTACAAACTTTCGTTTCTTTTGATTTGATTTCTTGTATTATCTGGTAGCTTCGGCCTTGAGCTGCTTTGCGTACTATTTGGGATATGGTTTTATCTTTTTCATCCTTGACTCATGCACTATACGATTCTGGAACGGCGTTCACTGCATGGCTGGATCACTATTGAAATTAAGCCCTATTATTGACTGTATGAAATCTTTCCGCCTGTGTTCTGGTCCTTGACTGTTTTGGCTCGTCTTCTTGACGAGTAGGCTCTGCGCGTCATCTTATAATGCCCATGTTTCATTCAGTATTCTTTTCTGATAATGCCTTCGACTCGCCAGTTAATGTCTCTAGGGTTGCTTCCAGTCTCAGATTTCTGATCCAATTCTGAGATTCACTGCCATTTTAGCACATTGTGGACTTTTCCATGTTCCAACATTGTATCACTCTCTCGCTGTTCCAAGAGCCGTGAACACTAAAACCCAACTTGACATTTCCCACAATGCATGTAACTCTTCACCGTGTTGTTTATTCACCATGTCACCTTGAAAAGGATTATATGCCCGTTCACTCCTTTCCAACCCCCTATTGTTTCTCGCATCCCACAAGGTGACATCCTTATAAAGACACTGTGCCAGACGGTATCAAAATGGTTTCTTTTTTGGGTCGAATGGAGACTCGCCGTCTTCACGGCACTGACATGAAGCGCTTGGTGCGCATTCTACGAGATGTCCCAACACCCGGCGAGGAGCGTTATGAGCGCAAGCTGGCACTCTACCGGAAGTTCACCAAGTTGGATATCCAGGATCTCCCTCGCCGCTTACGCTCCTCTCCTCTACTCTTCGGGACTTCTGGAAACCTCTGCTGTATCCACAAAGGCCTAGATGCCCATTTAATCAATGACATATGGGCATGGGTGAAGCACGAGTTTGAAGGCGCAACTGGCCAGTTCCTTTACCCTCTGATCATGTGTAATCTTCTAACCCCAGACAAAGAGTGGAGGGTGCGTCAAATGGAACCCGTGCTGCAAATGTGGCGACGTGATTTCAAACTTGATGCTTCTGCGCCTCCTGGCCGTGAGCCCATCTACTGTGGAGACAAGTGGCGCTATCAGCGCGATCAGTGTCCAGCTTGCATAATGGCGCGCATTGCCTCTGATGAGGACGTCCTCTCCGCTCTCTTTACGGGCATGGTCGGCCGCTTGAGCACCAAGAGTCTGGCAAATCCCAATCCCGCTCCTGACACTCCTTACTGGGAAGAAACGAGTTCAAAGCGTGTACGCTTCGTAAAATACTGGATGAGGACGACCCGTGGCGGGGAGAGGGCCCTTTACGAAGCCGGTGACCTTGGTATGAGACTAAAATTTTTGATGCTCGAGCGAAGGCACCAAAAGGAGTCTCTGTACCAGACGCTCTCTGGAACAACAGCGACCTCCTTTTCAGATACATCCTCCAATCATAAAAAAGGTGAGCACTCAGTTCATATGCAGATCGACACAAAACTAGGTCCGAACCCTCGCCCTTTCAGCGTAGAGCAGTTCTCCCCGGCAGAAGCCCTAGGCTTCGACATGCGCGAGAAGCACAACTACAACTCTACCCAATCGTACCGACAAGACACGCGCTCAGCATACCATCAAGATACCTACCCAGCCTCCCCTAGTAAGTCCTCATTCTATTCCTCCTACCACCACCAGCATTCAAGCACGTCACTGAACCCCAGTGATAGCATCAGCATGACAGCTCTCCATCCCGCGCCCCTCCGCATCAAAAAGCGAGACCCAACCCACGGCCACCACCGCAACCCTTCCTGCATAAGCACAACCAGCACTATCCTCTCCTATAACGGCGGCCCCTCACAACACCCATACCAACGCGACCCCTTCACCAACCCCATTTACAACATGTCCGAACCAGCAAAACCCCAACAGGCGGAGTTATATCAAGAAAAGTATCGGAAACTCTTGGTTGCCGATAACCCTTTTACTCAACAACCTACCACAACATTTAAACCCGAGCAGCGCGACACTGGGCTTCCGCGGCCCAGGCAAGCGTCCATGTATTTTGCGTACGGGGACAGGAGGTTTAACGGCGGACGCTTTGATGGCGTCGATGAGGAGCCGAGGCGCGAGGAGCTTGAGATGTGGGACAGGGAGGCGCGCGAGATGGAGCGGGAGCGGGAGAGGGAGAGGGAGTCGGATACGGAGTCCGAAGGGAGTAAGAGGTGTACGCGGTGGGAGGATTTTTATTAATATGTGTGTGTGTATGATGTTATGACTTTATTTTTATTTTATTTTTCCAATTGACGATGTTATGAGTTTATTCTCTCTTTTTTCAGTTGAAGTTGAAGTTGCTTGTGTGGAAAGGTGAAGGGAATGGGTGTGTGAATGTGCTGGTTTCTTGGGCATGTAAGTCCTAGGCTCTTGGACATGTGGGTGTACAGTGCATGTTGGAATGGTCATTGTGATGTGATGTGATTTCTAACTGCCTAAACGGTCCATGTTGAGTGCATTTTTTGTGATGAATAGTACTTTATGGTGCAGTTGCGTATAGGACCCGAGTATGCACAAAAAATGGTACCTGTCTCAAGGCAGAAGATTTATGCGGTGTACTTGTTTCCTTTACCCAGAGAGTATCTTCCGGAGTCTGCCTTGTGGTGGGGTCCTTGGGTAAGGCTGACTGGCAGCTAATTAGCTTGACAGTTTTAGGCGTCCAGGCTGACGTTGAAGCGAAGTAGTGTGAACAAGAGGGGCTGTCATCTAGTGGGGTATAACGTTATCATTACACTTTTTTGTTCAGCTTTGTGTACGTGTAGAATTTAAAATTGTGTTCAAGGCAGCAAGGTAAACACCATCTTGAACGAATGGATGAATTGACCAAATTAGTACTTGAGTAAAGAAACTTTTCTCAATCCTTGAACTCTGAAGACCTAGAAACCTCATAATTACCTTTGAAAAAAGCAGACTGCCTCCCAAGTTGTATCGCGTGCAGTTCCATGCAGCAGAGAAAAAAAGGGGGTATCATATGTATGCACCTGGAGCCCAAAAAAGAGACACCTACAATCCCGTGTATTCCTCGACAAACGCCATAGAGACAGCAATCAGACCCGCCCAATAAGCGCCAGGATTCATATCTGGACAACGTATTTGTCAAAGTATTCTGGTAGTGGTACCCCGCAGTGTTGATTATTGCAAGGCAGACACGACATTTCCCCACATATGCTTCTCACAAAGCCTACACAACCACCTGTAGCACCAGTCATGCAGCTGCTTGGAAGGGAAGTTGGAAGAATCCCTACTTCCTGTGCAGGTCCTTGGAGGTTCTGTCCAATCTGCGATGAACTGCACCCATGACCACCTTGAGAATACCCGCTGCAGTCAGTGACTCGCCTTCTGCGCCACTAAAAGGAACGGTATCCACAATATCTCTGAGATTGTCGTCCTCGGCCAATTCGGCGAGCCCGTCATCAAGCTGCTTGAGATGTTCGCGTGCACCGGGCTCCCGACCCACCTGGAAGAACTGGATACCGACTTGCCACGCAGGCGCGTCGAGCTTATCAAGCTTCTTGGCGGCCTGAATAATAGTAGACTCGACATCGTCAGAGGGCTCGCCATCGGTGATGACAATGATGTTAATGGGCTTAGTTTTGTCGTCCTGTTCGTAGCGCTGGAGATAGGGTTTTAGGATCTTGTGGAGGCGCTGGCCAGTTGGTGTGGCGCCGCCAGGTCGAACAGTCTGGAAGATTTCGATAATAGTACTGGGACTAGTAATCCTCTTGTAGAGGCTCGAGTCAGGATGGTTCAGGAAGTAGATGTCGATGCCGTCTTCGTCGTGGGCTGTACAAATTGGTGTGATGGTCGCAAGGGCCTCCTGTGTCTCTCTCCATGAACGGCCAGCCATGGATCCTGAATCGTCAATCAAGAAAATAGTATCAAAGCTCCTGAGGAAAGCGTACGGGTCGGAGTCTGAATTTGTTGTTATAGACGGCGACTGGAATGCGCTTGCATTTTGAGCTGGGCCAGGTGTATAGGCCGGTGGGGCTTCATTGTTAGATCCGGAGGCGTTCATAGCTGTGCTACCTAGTGATCTGTCAGTATCTAGAGGGGTAAATGGCGGAAACATGTCCAGCTCAGTGTATATGACTATCTTACCTGGCCTTCTTGTAGCTGATGACGGAGAAGTAAATGGGCTAGCAGACGAAGGTGGTGGTGCGAGGCCGCTATTACGGGATCCGGCCCTCTTGGGGCTGACCGGCGCAGCTGTAAGTGTGTTGTTCTGTGTCTGACCCGTAACCGCTGTCCCCCGCGCTGAGTGATCATTACTCGAAGTCGATGACTTGCGCGTCGAAAAAGCCCTTTTGACCTTGCCGAGCATACTTCCTGGCTGTAAAGTTGATTGAGGTTGCAGGTGGAGTGAATGGTGATCCGAAAAGTTGGTAGGAGTTCTGCAGTACTGAGAAGCAAGTGAAAACGCCATTGAGCTTAGGCCAACAAACGTGGCAAGAGTAATTCCGTTAGGTTGTTTGCAGTTTCCGAGATAAAGACCCTTGTTCTTGGGTGTATAAAGAGCTTGTGTTTGTTCCATGGTTTGATTGTAATCTCTTTATACAACTGCAAACAATGGCCACTCTGCCTTGGCGGCTGCCTGCATGTCTCGTTTATCACGCAATAGCCAGTTTCGGCAATCGAGGCAGATAATTCTTCAGCAGAGTCTATCATGTGTGCCCCGACTTTTCTTCTTACTGAAAAAGCGTAAGTTTGCTCAGCCGAGTGGCAGTGGCGCATTCATGCACAGCCGCATCATGACTTACATACTAGCGCGTGACCAATCACCTGCACAGCCGAGATCAATCAACGTGACATTAATTCAATTCCGCATTACACGACGATTAATCGTTCAGAGGTACAGTTCTGCACATTCGCGCACATGCATGTTCTATTCCATGGAAAAGTGATATGGGAAACCCTTTGAACCAGACTAGTGGTACCGAGTAGATAGTCCCCGTCTACGGAATGTTGAGATAACAACGACCTTCCGTTTCTGGTACCCCAAGGAACGAGGCGTTTCTTAAGGCAGGATGCTTCTTCTCAGATCTTTATCTGAAGTCCGCATCCCTCCATAACAAGGGAAAGGGTGGGGTGAGAGTGAGCGTAAGGCCGAAGGCACCCTGATGATGCGGGCGAATCCTGCGACAAAGGTACTCCAGCTCAGGCTGAATTCCACCAACGATAGACAAAGACTAGCTAGTTCACGAACGCCATGTACATGTATATGATTTAGGCTTCAAAGTACACGGGGCTCAACAAGCCCGTAGTCAAGCATCGAATATGCACTAATCCTTTAATGCACGTACGTCTCTAGGAGTCCAATCTCTCTCGCTAGCCATGAACATATCCCTTACCGCCACGTGCCTGGTAAGGCAGCCACTCGATGTTACTTGGGGTCCTTTTCGTGTGCCCCCGTTAGCAAGCAATCGGTTACCCGTCAAAGATCTTGGGTGAGCCCACAACACCGGTCTCTTGGCTAATTGCCAGGCGTACTCGGTTCGACGGGTGGTCCAACATTCAGCGCAGATGCCAACGTCCGGACTGCCGGTATCCAGACTAAGATGGCTCTGTACAAGATCTAGAAGCGGAAGCAATCGTGATCGTAGTCCGCAATGCGCATGGTTGTTGTCGACTTGGTAATTGGAGCATTGGCGAAGCGACGACAGAAGACGGTCAACGTCTCCGAGATAATATGTTGGCTCTGTATTGTCGTAAATCTTGCCTTGCAGACGCACGGTATCAATCTTGAAAAAGAAACGAACCATTTCTCCAAGTTGAAACGAATCACACTGCAACGATGTATCGTAGCCAAGCTTGCATTGTCGCTCTCCAGAAGTATACAACTTGAGGAAGTGCGACTGCAGTGAGTTGATCGTTTCCAAAATGTACTCCCGCCGCTGAATGAGCTCGTCCTCGACGCCATTCGGTATGTCCCACCAAAGCGCCTTTGTATGGTCCTCCCCTGTGCCCGGTTGCCATTGTATGGAGTCTCGTATGATCAAATGCTTCGAGTATCGCGTTACCCACGATGGGTGGTCAAAAAGAAGACCGACTAACAGCTTCTGTCGTATTCTCTCTTCTGTCTGTGATGTATTTGGTTTGCCTCTTGACTTGGCGTCGAGGAGTTGCATGTACTTTTTCTTCTGTACGTATTTCGAAAGGCACGCGACGGCATCGAATCGATCGGCCACGACGGCGAGGTTGGCCAGGTTGGCGACGGGAGGGTTTGATACGGCAAGGTCTAGGCCATGGATGGCACGGAGAAAGTCTGCGAGCAAATTGCGGATGGATGAGACTTTAGCCACTGCTACTCGACCGACATTGACAATGGATATGTGAGGAAGCACGTCATCAGGTGCATCGCCAATATTCTTGTGCCCGCTCAATCTAAGGGCCTCAAGCGACTCTGCTAGCTGCTGGCCTTCATGAAACCGGTGACTGAGTAGGTTTTCGAAGTATCGCGAGTTTTGCTGGAGGATCTTGGAGTCGACGCGGTACGAGAAACGCTGTCCTCCCTCTTCCTGGGCAACGTCAAGGATGAGATCGCCCCCGGCTGCAACGACTAACAAGCCCTCTTCGTCCGACATGGTTCAGGCTTGGTGGTGTGACTGTGCAAGGCGTACTTCCTCATGGGTATGGCCAAAACATGATGACTTGATTCGATGGCGATTCGCTTTGGTGCTGGGTGACAAAGTCGGAGACTGAGGTCACAGCCCACGGGCGGAGCGATGCCTTGTCGGCGGGCTAGCCAATAAGGGGAGGCGAACTGCGGATAGTGGCGCTGGCCCCTTGTCCAGGCAGTCTACACACCCCTCTACACCACCATTTGACCTTGCATTCACCTTCTAGCCCCTTATATTACTTCTGGGTTTTAACTAGACGGCCTGCTCACTAGATTGTGTCTGCCCGTTGCACTGCCATTGTTGAGGCGGGCGTTTTACCATGCGGACATCACGTAGACCGTTGATTGAGAAATATGCGCATTTGTATTAATACGTCTGTCTTCCAAGCCAAGAGCAAGTGAAGAGAGACTTCAAGTTGAAGATAAAAAAAATCAAACAAGGGAAATATAAACTCCGTTCTGCATGCCGGGTATCTTCCCACGCGCCAATGTCGTAAATCTAGCACGATAGAGACGGTGACCTGAAGACCTTGGCGTCATCCTATATTATGGCCACTCGCTCAAAACAAAAAGAAAATCGTCAAAAGACTGCCATGGCGATGTCGCAGACAGGTGTGCACATGCCGGACATGTGCCAGTACATGATGGGTGAGACGCGCTAGTTTAGCATGACAGTCCGTCGTGTGTGACTGGGTGCTAGCGGACACGGCGAGTTGGGAGCTTCATTCGCATCCACTCGTCGCCGACAATCGCATGGCCGACACGCGAGTCGTAGAATGCACGCTGGCGCTGAGCGCGCTCAACGTAGGTGAGGCGGTGCCTGTGTACACGACCTTTGGTGTCGCGTATGTAGTCGTACTTTTCCTCGCCCTGGGAACAGTTAGCATAATGATCTTGAATCTCAAGAGATGACGGGACAAGAAGTGTTGGTACTTACGATAATAGCCCATATAGCCTGCTCCTGGGGGTTCATCTGGCAGTAATAGGTTGGTCGAGGCAGGGGCTTCTCGCCACTCAGTCGGCTGGATATGCTGTCCACGCTGGAGCGGATGGAGAGGACCATGGTGAAAGGCGCGACGGCGGTACGGTGGTGCGGATCTTTGTTGGCGTGGGGGTTGGTGGTGGTGGGAACGCTCGCCGCAGAGGGCTTGGGATGTGCGTTACTGGACGAGCGTGTCGATCGTGTTGACGTTGGTGTTGGAGTGGTGACGTGAAGTGACAGACGGAAGTTGATTCATGAAGCAAAGGAAGGAATAAAGTAGTCTGGGGAATAATGCAACAATGCAAATGCACAATGTTAAGGCGTGACCCGTAGTTCGCCCCACGATGGTTGGAAACGGCAAAGGTTTTAATCGCGCAAGTCGGAGGGCGAAACCGGCATTGTGTGGGAACCGTGGTCGGCTGTCAACGTCTGGCGATACACAGAGCGAGGGAATGTACAGTTAATATACAACTAACAGGGCTGCAAAGGGTACAATCCAGGAGCAATCCGGGGCATCATCATGGGCCGCCCACGGGGAACTCAAAAGTAATTGCGCCTTCCGCACTACGCGCATGGTTGAAGCCTCCCAAGACATGCCGAGAAAGACCAGCCCAGACACAAGGGAGCACCTCTGTCCACACCCAACCACCACGCTGCAGATCAGAAGTACACGATGCACAATGGTGCTCGAAACATTGCATCACCATGCTACGCCGGCCTTGGCTACCCAAGCAACGCAACCGTGTTGCGCGGCGCCCAGCGGAGCGGAGGCTTGTCGGGACAAGAATGAATCAAGAGCGTCCATGTTGGGTAAACCAACGCGCATTGCATCTGAGGCGCAATCTCCAGATCTGCAAGCCCAAGACACTTGGCGGGGGATCGACAGGACAGTGTGCGGCTTGAAATGAAGCATCTCGGGACTTGTAGCGTGCGGGTGAGAGAGATCGCCAGAGGCTGCGCACGACTGGCTAGCTGGGGCGCCATCCCGCATGCACATCACGACGCCTTGCTATACCACAGCCCACCATACGCCCAGTGTTTGACATATTCATCACATGTAATATCCCCTCTTGGACTGACTTGGGCGGCCCCTCAAACCTTGATAATGAGCCAGCTTCCTTGACACCCGCGACCTTCTGTCCGTGGGCGCCAACACATCACCGTCTTTCAGGGGCTGGCTTCTCGAGACCCTTTGTCCAGCTTGCTCACTTGCTTGTAGTGTACAGCATCATACATACCCATCCACAGGCTGTTCCATGTGTTTGCTGGTCCGGGTGTGCTCTAGGCGATCCACACCATGTGCGCAACTACTCGGCCCGCGCCACGACTATTGCTTTTGGTCAACAGCACACGACGCTAGAAGTCTGGCAGCAGAAACATAATTATGCACCAAATAACCACTGCAAACCCAACGTTAGCCTCAGGCCGTTGAACACCAAGGACGAGATGGGTTGAACTTGAACGGCTGGGGTCACAAGGGTTCACCAGCCTTCGGACCATGACAGTTCCACAGTTCCGCTTGTGTACAACCACGACTGGGCAAATAGCCAAGCAAACAATTACGCCTAGGCTTGTTTTGTAGTAAGAAAGCAAAGGGAGGCTTCCGGGGCTTTCCGTCATGATTTCGCCCTGCAACCAGCCAAAGGGGTCGGCCAAGCCCAGACTGCGGATTCCTGTGGTTGCTTTCCATGTAACCATCCTTTCTCGTATCCTCCCTTTTGCTTCTACCTTGGCAAATTCTGTTCAACCGTGCTCAACATCTGGAATTGCTGTCAAAGACGAATAAAACCTTATCAACTCCTGCTCAGTGGCACTTGGCATGATGACCCGCTGCTGGTCATGAATAAGCAAAATCTAATCTTGAACGGCAAAACACCCACACACACACACACACACACACACATAGGAAATCTTGGTGCGCATTGCCAATGGCACCGGTCACCTAGAGAGGTACTACAACATGAGAAACCCCTCACTCAAGTGCCTTCAGCAATGAGCACTGATTGAGCATGTACGTAGCGATTACGATTCGTCCATGTTAACTTCTACCGAACAAGGAGTGTAATTGGTTCTGTCCACATGAGTCTGTGCTCAAAGTTACATGCAGCGTTTGTTTCATCTCTTGTGACAGACTGGGCTGTCTTCCAAGTCACGATGGACCTTGGGACCCGGTGTGTAAGGTCACTGATTATCCAGATTTACCCCCGTAACAACTGCGACAACAATTGACATAAGCAATATCGTGACAACGTCAGCACGGATACGTAAGCCGAGTCATTGAGGATCATTATTCGGTGTGTTCAAGTGTCAGGAAGAGGGGACAGAGTTCGGCATGGGCGATTACTGGTAGTAAGCTGATATCCGGCGGGTAGCGGCCGACGTCGGAGGATTGCTGCGGCTTCTGGCGGGGCTCACCTTCATACGTGGGGTAGCTTCCGGACGTTGCCATCAAACCTGTGCGCGCCATATTTTCTCATTTTCGAAAAACATACCAATTGCCCATAGAAGAAAAATGCCTGTGCACAACATTGTCGTTCTCGCTGGTAAGCTGCAGTGTTTGAAGTCGGGCATTACAGTACTAATTCGCGTCCAGGTGATGGCGTCGGCCCTGAGGTAACAGCAGCATCCACGCGTACCCACCACGTCTACTCACTGATATTTCTAGGTCGTTGCTGAAGCGATCAAAGTTCTCAAGGTCATTGAGAAGCATACCGATAATACCTTCAACTTCCAGGAGCATCTGTTTGGAGGTGTAAGTTGGGTGCTATGACGTAGGAGTCGGAACCGATCATAACGTTCTACAGTGCTCGATAGACGCGCACAACAACCCTCTTACCGACGAGACCCTCACAGCCGCAAAGAATGCCGATGCCATCATTCTCGGTGCCGTTGGAGGACCAGTACGTGATTGTGTACCATCAAAAGGGCGGCCCAATCTAATAAACGGTGTAGAAATGGGGCACGGGCAAGGTGCGCCCAGAACAGGGTATTCTCAAGCTCCGCAAGGAACTCGGGACCTTTGGAAATCTGCGACCCTGCTTCTTCGCCTCCGACTCGCTAGTCGACTCCTCGCCCCTCAAAGCCGAAAATGTGCGGGGTGTCAACTTCAACATCATCCGTGAATTGACTGGTGGCATATACTTTGGTGACAGGAAAGAAGATGAGGGCGATGGCAAGGCAATGGATACTGAACCATACAGTGTCGAGGAAATTGAACGCGTTGTACGTTTGGCTGGCAACCTTGCCTCGGTCGAGGACCCACCAGTGCCTGTGTGGAGTTTGGACAAGGCCAACGTGCTCGCGACATCAAGGTTATGGAGGAAAACATTCGAGCGTATCATGAAGGACGAGTACCCGCACCTCAAGTCAGGCACCCATCTCATCGACTCCGCCGCCATGCTCATGATCAAGAACCCACGCGCGCTGAATGGTGTTGTTGTCACAAGCAATCTATTTGGTGACATTATTAGCGACGAGGCGAGCGTTATCCCAGGCAGCTTGGGTCTTCTACCAAGTGCCAGCTTAGGCGGTATCCCCGACGGCAAGACAAAGCTCAATGGCATCTACGAGCCTATCCATGGTAAGTTCCGACGATATCCACAAACATTGCGCCTGCTCACACATACATAGGATCTGCACCAGATATCGCTGGAAAGGGCATTGTTAATCCCATTGCGACCGTCCTCTCCGTAAGCATGATGTTCAAGTACTCTCTGTGCCTGCCGGAGCTTGCGCAAAAGATCGACGAGGCAACAAAAATCACTATTGACAATGGCGTCCGAACCGCCGATATCGGCGGCAAATCAAGTACAAGCGAAGTTGGTGACGCGATAGCCGCTGAATTAGAGAAGCTGCTGAAAAAGTAATTTTGGAATGCGAGCAAAATGTACTTAGCATCTAGTCATGATTCTGGCCGAATAGCGATGCTTTACTCGTAGCCCTTTCCAGAAAAAAAGTTCGATTTTACATCTCTCCTCCATGCATCCTAGGCTAGCCTCATCAATGTACATGTGATTAATACGGAACACTTTCTTAGAAATACCCGGCCTGGAAGTGAATACTAAACTTGATAGTAACATGTCTAGTATACTTGTACGTCTACTCATTGTTCGTGTCGATCATACATCATGTTATGAGACGGAATGGAAATCGAACGAATGATCCTGTGTACCAATACATAGAGTCCGGCAAAGTATACCATGACTGCTCTCGGAAACAACACGCGTCCCGCCACATAAGCAAAACTCTGTAGAGTCATATCTGGTAGAGGCTGCCTTGGCAATGCAACAAAAACAAGATAAATCTAGCCAAGATTTACTGCACCCATGGTACTTACTGATGTAGTCTACAGCAGGTTTGAAGGGCGTAGTCAAAGTAAAAATGATGTAGAGTATGCTGCTTAGTAGGAATCACACATATTTCTTTTTGATACATAATCGGGTGGCCTCTCTGTAGATGCTGGGTTTGATGACGCGCTTGGTTACGCGTTTTAGCCACGCAGTATGTAAGGGCTAGTGTCGCAGTGAACTGGCAAGAGAGGACGGGATTGGTACCCGGATACTAAGATTTTAGTAGCACGTTGATATGGCGCTACGCGAGATGTCTTCTCGAGAAATAAAGTCTATGCATACGGTAGTATCGCCTTTTGGCTCTTGATCCTGGGGAAAAGCCTTTGGAAAAGCCATCGTTTAGAGATAAGAATTTTTACCACGATGGAACATGGGATAAGGTGTGAGCACAGAGGTATCCACCAAAGGTGAAGATGGATCTGAAACAGATCGAATCCACTACCCAGCCACCAAAAAAAGAAAGAAAAAAGCAACGGCCAAGTCGAGTGGTAGTCTTTCTTGGCCGGTAATCGTTTTCCACCGTCGTACCGAGCGGAATTCAACTTTTCCCGACTCCGATCGGAACCAAACTGTCCCAAACCATGGGTGAGTGCGCTAGTTAGAAAACTTTTGAAAGGAAACCCCGTCCAGGAGCAAGATATTGGAAAGAGGAGTTTTAATCAGTTTCGACAAATCTTAGAGCCACATTGTCTCTATGAATTCTTCGCATGTCAATAAAAAATATAATTCTACTTCTTTGGATCAGTTTAGCCTATAGCGTATTGGAAGTTTTTTTTTGGAAAGAATAGCAGAATATACCCTAACCTACGAGAATTGGTCATAATTCAATTGGATAAGATAACTAAATCAACTATGGTTGCGGGGAAGGAAGGAGAGTAGCGAACTGGGGTTGCGATAGAGGCAGTAGGATAACCAACTCTGGTTGCATAAGGATGCGCAACGCAACGCAGCGCAGCGCAGCAAATGGAAATTGCAATCGCAAATATTCACTGGCAGATTGCCTATAATTCATTCACAATTTTTGCAGCATGAGAAGAAGAGCTCGATAGCAGCAGCATAGCAATATAAGAGAGCATGCTTTAGACGTTTTATCCATCACGCAAAGATTCGCACTCTTCCAACCACTATAATCATCAGCCTTTCCATCCACCAACCCTCAAAACTAAGCCACCTTTCCAGCTACCATGAAGACTTCTCTGATTGTCCTTGCTTGCGGGCTGCTTACTGCAGTCTATGCCGCCGACGCAAAGCATCACACCGGCTTTTATAAACGTACTAAGTGTGGATACCACTGCAGCGGTAAGCCAAACAAACAATGGCCACACTTGTGTAATACACCGCTAACCTATGGGTTTTTAAAAAAAAAACGCAGGCAACGAACCCCCGCTCGGCTGTCAGAACGTCACGGCAGAGAACCAGAAGAAATGCCAGCCCTTCACCTTTGACGGGTGCTACGACGATGCCGAAATGAACATTCTCAAGTTTTCTGACTGGGAGGGGCATTCCGGTCACTCAAAGTGTGCCCAAGACTGTTTTCTATGGAAGTACTATGCGGTATCCGACGAGTACTGCCACTGCGGCGATCACATCAAGAAAGGAGCGGTCAAGTACGATCCGGAGCTGTGCAAGGCTCCGTGCCCCAACAATGCGGCGGAGAACTGTGCGCGCCCGGGCTTTGCGTTGGTTTATAGGAAGCAGAGTATTCCGGCGCAAAGCAGGGTATTATTCTGAGTACTGAGGTGCAAAGTGAGGCATATTATGGGTTTCTATAAATCGCGCCGGGTTAGGTGAAGGAGGAGGGGGAGGATGAGGAAAGGCTTGGGATGGACATGCTGTGGATTGCATGGAGAAAGAGAAGTTTGGCACGTTAGCATGGTGGTTTTGGTTTTCCAACCTCAAAAGTTTACCGCTTGTTTTTAAGAAGAAAGAGATTCTTGGGGTTGTGCGAGGGAGGGAAGCTAGAGAGGATTAATATTACTATTACATCTCAGCATGAGCCACCCGGAATCTGAAGATGACATTTGACTACAGCAGTGAGTGACATGCTAAGTGGTGCCCTTAACGACATGTTACTGGGCACTTATTCAAATTCAAGGGTATCACAAAAAACGACAATGACTACTTTCCGAAACAGCCGGTCTTCAATGACCACCGTGACATGGTCGTCCGCGGAGAATAAAAGATGTGATCTTGGGTTGCTTTGCTTGTCGTTCCTACTGGACGGGCCGCGATATGTTTCTGTATCGATAGCATTTCCTCCAATAGGTAGAGGACGTTGGGTTAGGCTGAAACATGAGGCGGTTAAAATGATCGACGGGAGTGGCTTTCGTGTATGTAAGTATGCGCACGCGCGCTTCATTGTGAATACGTATGTGCCCTGACTGTGCCTTTGATTGGCTAGTCCAGAATACGTGGGGGCATCCGTAATGTAGATTTTTGATTCTCTGTAATTCCCATGAGACACGAGAGATTGCCTTGGAGATGGGAATGGTGATTCTAGGGGCACCACTGGAATGTGCGTTGCAAAACAACTTCTGCTGGACTTGTCGTGCATGACTTCATACTTCAGCTTCTTGTATCAACTTTTTTCTAAAAGAGTACGTAACACTAAAGAATTACAGCTACAAGAGCCGAGTAAGCAGTATCACGAGTACTACTGTGCAACGGCCACACTGCTTGGTAAAGGATCATTTGGGCGTTCTTGGTTGTTCTTGGTAGTTCTTGGTCGTGTATCGGGACTTCGCCTCCAGATGCTGCTACGTTGCCGAAATCCGAGCCCCGCGTAACAAGGCCCTGACTAGTTGTTAGCCTCGGGCGGGTGTCTTGAAAGAGATCGTCAGGCACCCCCTGCAGCCTGCAACTTGCACAAACGACGACACCAGGCTGTTGGCAGTGGCCATAGGCTACACCCGGACGGAGCACCTGCAGAGGGTAGCGCAGCCGACGGCATCAACTAGATTGTTCACAGACACATTGTCCTGCCGAAGAAATACGAGAGGGCGGTTAATGGGACGGTAGAGGGTTACCTGTGCAAAGGAAGTGGAGTACAAATAACGTAAAAACCAAGTCGAAGACCCAAGGACAGGCCAGGTCGATCACAAGCACGTGGCGAGAGTAAGCGACAAGAGCCTTACTTATCGATACGTCGGGGCCTGGCAGCCACTGGCGCCATATCACTTCCATCAGTAAGTACATGCCTACTTACACTAAACACCATTGGTATTATAGCCGAAGAAACGTAAACGGTCTGTTCATGAAACGAATCTGCTGTCAGTCTTCCTGGTCGCGTGCAAATCATTGCGCAAAACGGTGGGCGTGGTATTTGACGAAGTGATCCTTCGCCAGGGACAAGCGCCCCTGCTACGCCAAAAACGGGAGCGCGTGAAACAAGATGCGGACTCCGACAGCCACGAACAGCAGAACCTCCATCGCGCACCCGGACAGCGACTCCTTCACTCGAGACCCACAGGCTCTCGCGTCTCGCTGCCTTTCCCAAACACGTCCATTTCCCCCGATGCGCCACCTGGTCTTGCTCCTACCATTGGCTCCTCGCAAAGTCAGGGGCCCATATACTACACTCCACTTTTGGGCAGAGGCTACAAGCATGCTGCGAGCACAACCCTCCTTCAGACGCCGAGACTGGGCGTGCTAAGACGTCTTATACGGGACCCATCGACAACTATGGTCCAGTCGTCAGGAGGTGATTTAAAAGCTGCCTGCCTGCCCTTGTGAAAGAGGGCATCAATCCCAGTGATAGATACACATTCACTCGTGACAAGCTAGTCTTTGTCTACATTCATTCTACCTTCATTCACTTTTTTTGTTCCAAAGCGCCGGGCCGCCTTTCTTCTTTGAGCTTCTTTGCTGCTGTCAAGAAACACCTTCACAGAAGCCGCTTCATCACTACACTGTCCTTTCAGCTCTGACTCTACTTTGCAACTTCCAGTCCTTCCTTGCATTCATAACAACCACAGTCTTTACGAAAAGAAAAAGCATTACACACACCATGTATATGAAAACTCTGTCTGTGCTCGCCCTAGTTGGCGCTGCCAAGGCTCACATGAGCTTGTACTACCCTCCCCCGCTAGGCGGAGCTCCATCCATCAACCCTCAGTCAACCGAAATCGACCCCGAGTTCAACTTCCCGCTTGGATGCTGCGGTCCTGATGGAGGTGACAGCAGGCCTTCTCCAGGCCCCTGCCGTGGTCACCTTGACAAGTTTGATACTGAAAAAGCGTCTGTCACTTGGCAGTCTGGTCAAGATGCCTACTTCCAGCTTACTAGCTTTGACTACGACAAAGCCGCTCCCGGCGGTACTCACTATGGTGGATCCTGCCAGGTTGGATTTTCCACGGACAAGGGCAAGAGCTGGAAATTGGCTGCTTCGTACCACGGTGCTTGCCCGCATGCTACCGAAGATGGTTCACCTGAGGCCCAGACCTTTGACTTCAAGGTCCCTACCAACATGCCGGAAGGCGACGCTCTGTTTGTCTGGATCTGGCTGAACCGTGAGCACGAGAGCTTTGAGTCCTGCAGCAAGGTGCACATTGGCGGTGGTGGATCAGGCGACAGCACTGAGCCTACCAAGCCCTCTCAATCAGCATCTCAGCCTGAGGAGCCAGCATACTCTGCCACTTCACCCAAGGAGACTCCTCAGCCTGAGACACCCCAACCTGAGACAACCCAACCACCCAGCAACGATGACAGCTACGACAAGGAACCCGCTGGCGACAATAACAACAACAACAGCAACGGCAACGGCAACGGCAACGTCGTCACCGTAACCACCGTAGTCGCAACCACCATCTACAAGTACAAAGCCGCCGAAACCGCTACTCCCGATTCCCCCTCGCGCAACTGGGGCCGCGCCCACCCAGCCGTCAAGCCCAACACACGCCGCTACCAAGTCGACGGCTCCCGCTGCGACTGCACCCGCGACGCCCTCACCCTCGCCGCCCGCTGCTTCTGCGACTCCCCCGAAAAATCCATCGAGCGCAAAGCTCTGCGTCTGCACCGCCGCACCTTCTACAAGCGCACCGACGCCTGCGACTGGAACTCTGCGCCCGCCATGGAGACTTCGTACTATACTATCGATGCTAACTGTGCTGCTGGTGCCAAGGATCGCATGCCGGAGAGCGATAAGTTTGAGCTGGGTTGGGATGTGTCGTGTGGTGTTGTTGAGGGAGAGAGTGAGTATGAGATCAAGACTATGACTTGTGATATGTATGGTTAGTTTCTGTGTGCATGGGTTTATTTGGTTGGTTGTTGGACTTGTTTTTCTTCGTACATATCCTTCTTCATTCTTCTTCTTCACTCGTTCATCACGTTTTCTGGACGCTGGCTTCTTCTTTTTTACTTCTTGCTTCTTGGTCGCCACAGCGCCACCTTGATTGCTTCAACTTTTTTTGGTTGGTGGAGTGTTTGCAGCAATTTGCATGACGCAAATGCGCTTGCTTTGTGTATCTGTACTGGGATGGAAATCTTGCCGCCACTTGGGTGTCCTCGCGCTGGATTATGCAATGTACATATCTAGCGGACGGGTCAGAATTAGATAAAAAAGAGAATAACGTCCGTCCCTACGTGCCACGGTGTATGATATAAAAGAATACTTTTTCTTCTAGAACCTTAGCATATTCTCAGCGCGCTTCTATTAGAAAAATATGAGATATATTTATATATTCTTACTCTTATGCTTTTAGTATATTGGTCTCTAATGTGGAAAAATATACTTTGAACTATACTATTGCTCATTCTATTAGTACTATGTATTAGGTTTTCGTTAATACACCTTTATTTATATATAGCTTATTATCCTAAAAATTAGGATGATAAAAACTAAAACAATAGTATATATTCATAGTAGATACTATTATAATATAATATTTGCTATTATCGCTGTTTGCGCTACATAAAGATGCTCATACCGTTACTATAGAAATAATAGAACGGCACTGTTCTCTTATCAGTCCGCCTCCGGATTATAATTAATCAAGTAGTTTTCTTCCTAGTCAGCGCCAGTGCCAGTGCAGAGTCAAGTTAGGTGATGTGCAGCTTACTGGCGGAATAAGTTAGTGCTGAGCAGCCTATGCGCTGTAAGAGGCTGCGCTCTAGGGAGCAATCGCAAGGTGTACAAGAAGCTGTATTCGATAAAGAGCTAACTGTCTAGTTACTCTACTTACGTAGTGTTTATTTACTCGTCGGAAAAAGTTTACGCTAAGGTGTCTAAGCACTTTATCTGAGTGCTGCTTATGCGGTAAGCAGAATCCGAGTGCTCTGGGCGACAGCTGGATTCTGCGCTCGTCGTCTGAAGTTTGTTCAGATGGCGCGTGCGTGTAGATTAAACAGAGATCCTATAGAGGAGCTTTCTAAGGAGCGTTCAACCTATTATGGTAACAGTCTTCTACTATGTAGTATATGAAATATACTGTTTATTTCGGAAATGTAGATTACACCTAGATTTATAGCGAACTTGCGTTATGAAGCAAATAAGTCACGATAGGTTGTAGAGCTGGCTGCCTCAGCTAGTGCGCTCAGCGCTCGCACAAACATCTGCCCTGTCCAACTGTGACAAATTTTCGGTACTTCGGCAAGGGACAAAGCTCACCACCATCCCCTGCCCTACTTGCGAAATCTTCGGCGACCTCTAATATTGCGGGCATAAGCGCTGTCTGACATGCATACTCTAAAGATCGAAATAAGGGCTGAATAGCGTACATCCCTCCGCAACCGACATCCCGGAAAGCCGGAACTAGATCATCCGTTCACTTAAATCGTAGACTGTTTATAAACGAATTAGTCCGTTCCGGCACTCCAGTATGTCTGGTGTGGAGATATGCACGTTATATATATAGCCTGCTCCTTTACTGAACCAAGCGACACTTCCTATTACCACGTCTTCCTTAACACTGATAAACAATCAAACCATAAACTGTAGGACAACTACGTATCTCCACTCTTTCTAGACTACTAAGCTAACAGACCTTATAGACTTACTAAGTAACGATGCGTTTCCTCTTCGGGATCTTGATGCTCTCTATAGGCAGTGCATTAGCAGGTCCTGTAGGCTCCGATATGCTATCCGTTAGAGGTATTATTATCTACTTTCAACTCCAAATATAGCTATAACATTCTTCTAACTTCGTTTCTAGATCCACAGACTTCTACTGGGTGTCGAGGGTGCTACCACAATTGCAATACATCCTACCCCCGTGGCAAACCTCGTAATGATTGTTATACGGGATGCCCACGTCTATTCCAAGATTGTTAGGGAGATAGCCAATAGTTAGATGCGCCTCAATCAAAACCCGATCTGCATGAGTTGAAGTCCTTCTTAAACTGCATTTGGCAACATGATAGATGACGAATGTCTATCTCTACGTGTCGGGGCGCGCGATATGACGAGGCTGTATATGACAGCGGAGTAACACTAACTAGAAAGAAAACTCAATTTATTACTAGCTAGATGGGGGCTTGTATAGAAGTAAAGCTATTATATTATTATATATATCATATTTACCTATATTCAAGAGTACGATAAACTATATTAGATTCTAGAATGGAAAGCGTTCTGTTGTACAGTACGTCCTGGCACATACGGATGGACATTAAGACGTTGGTGTTGTGGCTTTGGCACCGTCTTACAAAACAGTGTAACATATGGGAAATTTTTGAAAGAGTTTATGTTATGAGCGTAGTTTGAAAGATTCAGTAGTGTATTATTCTCTCCGTTTACATTCTACAAAGCACTCAACCCAATACAACCTTCACAGGCCCCTTGGAGTGCGCCTCCCATACATGCTTCGGCACCCACCCACACGCCACTCTATACGCGACCCCCTCCTTACGCTGAATCCAAAGCACATTGTAGAACTGACACACCGCACCACCGACACTCTCTTCTGCCACACCCTTCCTCTGCCTCCGCTCTTCAAGCACCTTCTTCTGAAAATGAAACCAAACCCTCTGCTCATAATTCATCCGATGTTGTTGCGTCGCATTAAGCTCTAGTAGCTTCCGCTCATTCTTCTCCATTTCCACACGTACCTGATTGTCAATTTCATCTTCTATAGCACTGAGTTCCGGGATGAGAGCACTGTTTTCATTGTCTTTTGCTGATTCCTCGCTAAACGCCATGGACGTGTCGAACAGCAGTGCGCGTCTCTGCCGCATGGTGAGGAGTGGCGAGGCAAACTCTGTGATGTTACAGTTATTGCCGTGGAAGTAGTAGAGGTCTCGGTAGGCGAAGACGTGCCATTCGTATGTGCTTTCGAGGTCTGTGGCGTTTGCGCTGCCGGTTGATATGGCAATGAGTTCGACGGGGAGGTTGGGGTTCATGCTGTCGAGATTCATGTGGCGGAGGAGGCCGGCAAACATGCCGTTTGGTTGTTGGAGGACAATGACGGGGGGTGCTTTTTTTTCGCGGGGGCCGAGGGCAAACATGCGGTCTTCGAAGACGGAGACTTTAGCTTCCCCCCAACTTACCGCACTGGTGTAATTGCGGGCCCTGAGTATGGTTGCGGGGAGGAATAGGGCTGAGTTGGTTTTGAAGGTTAGGTAGGATGTTGTGCAGAGTTCGGGTTGCCGCGAGGCATCGAGAGAGAGCGGGATTGGATGTCTGAAAAGCAGCTTTCGATCTGTTGCATGGCTAAAACTCTGAGCTTCCGTACTAGGTTCTTCGTGGGATTGCCACTCATTTGGAAGCGTGTCAGGGGAACTTGATAGCTTGGCATACTCATTAAATGTGGGCAGCTCCGACATCAGTTCCGACTGTGCTAGATCATTAGACGCATACCACTCTATCAAGTTTTGTGTTTGCCAGCTGCCGGCTCGTTTTCGCATTTTATCGTCGTTCATGTAGGCTAGGCCAGAGCAAAGACTCGTTGGATCAATGAAACACTGCCATCCGCACCATGCCCATGATGGAAGGCTGGATACGCCTTTAGATGTGCTTGACGGACTGCCTCGATCTACGCGCCGCTGTGCAATCTCAAATGGCTGCCATAGCAGAACATGGTCGAGAAATATGCTCGGTATGCCCGATATAAATTTCCCAGGGAACGACCGCGACAATGCGCTCAAGACACCCGAAAAGCCCAATAGTGCATCTTGGGGATAAGAAAACTCCCGGCCATTGTACGGACAGATCAGATCGACGTAGAAGCTGAAATCAGGCCACCACCGGGTCGCAAATCGTTTGCCCATGTCCGTGGAAGAGGAGATGGTTTCATAGTCCTGGCCTGGTTCGAGATCCGCGCCGTCCCACATGCAACACTGGCAATCCCAAAAGATTCCTTTCTCAGTAAATACAACGGCCCTTTTACAGAGTATTTGCTCTTGGAACGTCCATCCTCTTGTCGCCCACCGAGATTCTCTCAAAGCCTGATATCGATAGTCCATGGTACGGACGACTTGATCTCTGTTGAGTACAGAAGTCTTTGAACGTTTCAAAAACATGTCGAAGCGAGGCCATTCTAACAATTGATCACTTTGGTACATGGCATCCGGTGCTGCAGCAATGATGGTGAGATACGCTCCTGCGTATATCTTGTCCATCCTTGTGACTTGATCGAGCGTCCCTGCATCGTTTTGCACAATGCAAAGCCGGTCGACCCAGAGATATCGTTCACCTAATGCAGCTGTTACGCTCATAGCATGTCTGATCACCCCCGGTAGGATCTCTGCAATAGCAGAGCTGGAAAAGCATCCAGGCGTTTGGAGGTCTACTATGCTCGCGGCGTCAAGGAGTAAACTGCGCGGTGCCGGGGTAGAAGAGTCGCGGGTTTCTGGCCAGGTATAGCTTAGAGCCAAGTAATGATCCGCGGAGGTTCCTGGCACGATGCACTGGTCGTGGGTGTCGATGAGCCATTGAGGAACGTCGTTTTGAGGTTGTTGTGATATTGGCTTTGGGATGCAGATATCGCCATGTGATGAGTTGCACACTTCTATCCACTGGCGAATTCGACTCGGATAGCTGACTTGGTCGCCGCTTGAGGCGGGAAGCGATTCAATGTCCATTCGAGTTATGTGCAAAATTGGCTTTGAGATACAGATAAAACAATGCTTACGTTCTTCGTTATTAGAAAGTCATCTCTCAATATCCAGTGGGTTTAAAGCAGAGGAAACAAAGTCCATTATTTAATTCATCATGTGCCGTCGCCAAGATGTGGCTGGACCTGAATTGACGAGGCAGCCGTGGGTCTAACTTTTTTTTGTCGGTATGTGTCCAGCTGAGGTTTTCTGTTGCAGTCTTCTATGGCTAATAAGCGCCCGAAAAACGCCACCATCCACTCAGTCGCTGCGATCCCTTGACTTGAGCCGAGCCGTCCCCCTCTCAGAGGTGGGGGGTACTGCACGTAGACAGGGGGATAATTAGTTAGTTCCGACAGCTCTTATATTTCTAGACATAAGCCGCCTCCATACATAGAGATGATTTCCCGGCGATTGCAAACCGTGCGGGGCAGCATTGGATGAGGTCGTATCGTCAAGTCCTACAGGGGCTTGGTATAAGTAATGCGGTTCAGTACATGGCTTCAGATGAAGTCGAAATACAAATATCAAGATTGAGACACTGGAGAGAACAGCAGCATTGATACCAGGGAACCGTAATATTTGAGGGGTGGTCACAGATAGGATGTAGAAAGAGTAGGGACGATAGTATGCGAAGTGCATAGTAGTGGAGTTGAGCTTGTTTGCGACCAAGGACCGTGCACTGCATTATGCCGACAGTAGCGATGGACCATAACGCAGCATGTTTTCATTGCTGGGTACTACATGAACTTAGCTGCATGGTGTACACTTATGATTAGAGTGGCACATAATTGGATTATTTCTTTCATTTATTAAGGACATGACTACGAAATGCAAATTCGTATAATACAACGACAAGCAAATTGGGAACTATTCCACTCGCCATATATCCACATCCAATCATAACAATTTCATCCTAATCCTGTCTCGTGTGGAAGCACTTATGATGACTTCCAGAACTCACCGCCCAACCACCTGTTGAGCATCTCGAGAGAAGCCTCGGGCTGGTCGTACGGGACCATGTGGCCACCAGCATGAAGCTTCAAGAAGGTGAAGTTACCGCTGGACTTGACCTGGCCAACAGTCTTGCCATCACCGTCAATCTTGAAGTCCTTCATCTCGGCCTTGTTGTAGTCCTTAGCACCGGGCCACTCAAGAGCCTCAGTCCAGGCCTTGTTACCGAGCCAGTTGCAGATGTAGTCAGCATCACCGGCGTAGATGAGGACGGGGATCTCGGCGAGGATACCAGGAACAACGCGGTGGAAGGGCTTCATCCAGTCACCCTGAAGCAAGAAGTTGCGGTTAATGTCGAAGTTGCAAGATTCGTAGCCAGAGACCTCGGCACCGACAGCCTTCATGACCTCCTTCTTGTTGAGGTATCCCTGAATCCAGTCAAGCTCGTCATAGCAGAGAGAGTTGCTGCCACATGGCTTGCGAACGTCATAGACGTTCTGGCCAGTGCGCTGGTAAGGACCAATCATGGCGTTGTTGCAGTAGATGGAGGCGGGAACACAGGACCAGACAGACTCAGAGTTATAGCAATTCTCAATGAGGCTGGCGCAACGGGGGTAGGCGTTGTCCATAGCCTGGCACTGAGACTCGTCAAGGACGGCAGGCCAGCCACCCTCACCGCAGGCCATGGGACGGTAGTACTCGTACTGAGTAAGACCATCGGTCAGACCGTTACCGATGAGAACGGACTGAAGGTTGATGTTGCGCTTCTTGTGGGAAAGGATCTCGGAGGCAAAGACGGGGATGTAGTGACCAGCGTAAGACTCACCAGAGATGTGGAAGCTCTGGTGCGAGTACTCGGGGAATTGCTTGAAGAAGAGGGTGAGCAGGGCGTAGATGTCCTTGCCAGCAGCAACAGTGTTGCTAACTGAGCCGCTCGAGTATGAGTATCCGACGTTGACGGGCTGGTCGAGGAAGATGACGGAAGCATTGCTGTTCCATGAGTATGGGTTGTTCTGGATCTTCTGGTCCTTGGTGATGGACGCGGGACCGAGCTCCATGAACAGACCGGTCAGCGAGGAGCAGCCGGGTCCGCCATTGAGCCAGAGGACAACAGGGTCGTTCTTGGGGTCATTGCGCGACTCAAAGAACCCTGCAATGCATTAGATACACGGAGTGGCGATGGCGGGTGTTCATTGGGGTACTCACAGTAGAACAGGTGCTTGTCCTCCTCCTCATCGTCGAGGTAGCCAGAGTACTGCTTGACCTTGTCGACGCCGAGAACGCTGGGGTCGACCTTCTTGGCCCTCAAGCTGTACTGCTCGAGCTTGCCATCGATCTCGCGCTCCTTCTCGCCGTCCTTGTTCTCAACCCAGACGCTCTGGATGTCGGCGCCCTTGATGATGTGATCCCACTCGCTGTCAGGCTTGCGGGTGTGTGGCTTGGGCTGGGAGAAGAAGGCGGCCTTCTCGAAGCTCTCAGGGAACATCATGGCGACCTCGTCCCAGATGGCGCGCGCCTCGCCGGTGAGCGACTTGAGGCTGTCCTCGAGGTTGTGCATGCCCTTGGCCCAGGTAGATTCCTTGAGCTCGCTGAAGGAGCTGGGGAACTTGAGGACCTGCTGCTGCTGGGGCGCAACAGCAGCGGCCGCTCCAACGAGCAGCGCCGAGGTGGCTACCTTCATGGTGGCGGGTATGCTAAGCTTCCAGAGCCGTAGCTATATGTGATTGAAGAACAGGAAGAGCTTCTACCCGTGATGGAAGAAGCAGCTGATGATGGATTGGGGGAGAGGGGGATGGAATGTGGAGGGAGAGAGGGTGAGGGAGGGTTAAGAAGGAGGAGGTGAGATGGAGGAGGTGTGGGATAGCTCGTGCGGAGGAGCCCTTGTCCAGGCAACGGAGCATGACGCGCACCCCCGAAGCTTATCAGAGAGGCTGGCGCGTCCAAGCTCGAGCATCACATGGGCTTAGCGTTTCACGATAGCTGACCGGCCCATCTATGAGAACGGGACGATAGACGGCCCTGGCAGACACGTCAGGAACACGACCGTCACCGTCTGTTCTGCTGCCGATGTTGGGGGGCGCGTTCTCTGCCGAGTGCCTGCGCCTGGCAGCCGGAGCAGCTAGAGAGCTCGACTAGGCGGCCAAGTGCAGCAGAGTACCGCGGGACCTGCATGTGCCCGATCTGGCCTAGCGCCCTTTGAATCATTCTGAGTGAACCGGCTGGTGCTATGTCATCCGCTGAGGGCGATGCCCCCACCAAAAATGCCATCCAACTTTTATACCGCGCGCCCGGCACCGGCACCTCGACCACACCTACCCCCCACAGAGCCCCCATAGATCGCCAACATGCCTGTCGGCATCATCAAACCGTCGAACCAGATCAAGCTGACCAACGTGTCGCTGGTGCGCATGAAGAAGGGTGCGAAGACCCCGCCAAGCCCTCTGCCTATTCTTATTCTGCATTCCACTTACACGCCGCAGGCAAGAAGCGCTTCGAAATCGCATGCTACAAGAACAAAGTCCTCGAGTGGCGCAACAAGGTCGAAAAGGATCTTTCCAATGTCTTGCAAATCGAAAACGTCTTCCTCAACGTCTCCAAGGGTCAAGTCGCCCCCAAGACCGATCTCGAAAAAGCCTTTCCCAAGAAGTCGCTCGAGGAAATCATCATAGATATACTCGATCACGGCGAGCTGCAGGTAGGCGAGAAGGAGCGCAATGCCGAGCTCGAGAGGACCAAGAATGAGGTCATCGACATCGTATCCGGAAAGCTGGTGGATCCCAAGACGAAGCGCGTGTACACAACAGGCATGATTGAGAAGGCGCTGGATCAGCTGAGTTCTGCTGCAGCGTCGCAGCAGAGTGAAAAGGAAAAGGGCGAGGCCAAGGAAGATGGTGACGAAAAGGCAAAAGCGAAGGAGCTACCAAAGTGGACTGGCGTCGTCACCAACAAGTCGGCCAAATCGCAAGCCCTGTTTGCCATGAAGGCGCTCATCGCTCATCAGCCAATACCCGTCGCTCGCATACAAATGAAGCTGCGCATTACGTGTCCAACTTCTGTCCTTAAACAGAGCATCAAGACTGCGCCAAAGGCCCAAGCGGGTGCCGAAGACAAGGGCACAGTAGGTACCGTCAAGGATGCCATACTCGGCCTCATGGAAAAGGTTGAGAGCCAAGATACCGTAGGCGCAGAGTGGGAAGCGGTGGGCCTCATCGAGCCCGGTGCGTTCAAGGGTCTTAACGAGCTGATCGAGGGCCAGACAAAAGGAAGGGGCAACGTTGAAGTGCTCGAAATGGCGGTTGGCGCTGATGATTGATCGAGTGAGTGGAGACACGTCTTTTCGGCACGCGTCGCGTGTTGCTCTCGCTCTCACGTGCTGGTATTCCACTGCCAGAAGAGGAAATAGCCTGCGTAAGGGACGGTGGGCCCTTTCGCGTGGTGCCTCTGGAGTAAAAATGCATGGACTTATACGGTCTGCAAGGGCAACATGGCAAACATACTCCACCGCTCCTTTGCTTGCCTCACTCTGCAACATAGTCATGCGAGCACATACCCCGAACCATACACAGCTTCCGTGCACGGTTCTGCCGCACTCGGGCCTTTGCGACACAGCGGTAAGCACCGCGCTGTGCGCACGTGACTCTTTCACATGCCGTTCTAGCCCTTGTGTATCGAAAGTTTGCATGATGGGAAAACGATGGCTTGGACGACTGGAATTCAGTCATTGGTTAAATCTACCATCTCAGCGCAATCCAATATACATACATTTGCTCTATCACATGTTTTCTGCATTGCTCCATTCTTGCATAACGCCATGTGCCCCCACGATTGGTACATTCCGTACAACGGACGGGTCTCCGTTTGACCACTCTCTCATCCCGAACTAATGCAGTAATACCCGCAACTAGGATTGATTGCATATGGCCAAGAAACCACTCGCCGTGGGACAACTGTTCCTCACCCCCTCTATCCCGCATGCTACTCAGCTCGTCATCCCCCACGCAGACAGACAGTGTGGGGGCTGAGAGTGAATATTCTCTCCATCTATTTCCCCAAATTATCTCATGTATTCAAGGTGAAGTGGACAGATGAAAATCATCAAGTTGAAAAATTGGATACTTAATATTCTTGTTACAAAAAAACTCCATAAATGCTATCCCTGAATCCAACTCCACAATCTGCAAACTTAATCCAACAATCCCCCTTCATACCCCCCCCCTCTTCCCCTCCCCCTAACCTTTTTAATCTCTCTCACTTCAATTCTGCATATGTATCACAATGTGTCATAACGTCGTAATTACCATTCCCAACCCGGGGCAAACCCATCAACAAAAGAGACAATAAAAGAGTGAAAGGAAAGTTCATAACCCAAACCATGCAACCGTAAATCATGACAAATGAAAGAGAACCAAGACGTGGCAATCAGTGACGTAAACAACAAGGAAAGAAGAAGGATAAAAAAAGGAAGAGGACAAGTATACCAAGCTAGTTCAGCTCAGTCCCACCAGCGTCGCCGCATCACCCGCCCGTTGTCACTCAAGATACCGAGTACATCGGCGCTGCTAGTCCGTACGCCCCACACCCGTTCAATCGGGTCCGCAATTGACGTCCAGTCCAACCGGTGCACGTCGTGCATGTCGAGGACCGCGCAGACGAGCCATGGTGAGTACATGGGACAGCTGGTATCTTGGTACAGAAAGGGGGACAGTGGGCTCGGCGTCGTGTCCTTGTCCTTGTCCTTCGAGGTAGTGTTGTTTGTAGTGGTGCTCTGAGCAAATGTCAAAGGATGAGGTCGTTGGTGCTGGTAATGATGGTGCTGTTCTCGATGTTCTTCGTCGTCTTCTTCTTCTTCGTCTGATGCAATTGACTCGTCGTCTTCGTCGTCAGATTCCATGCTGCTCTCCGTGCTGGTCGGAGATGTGGTAACGGACGAAGAGCTGGCACTCAATGCTTCTGACAGCATCGACTCGTCGCTCATTTTGGTCTTCAGTAGAGGCAGCGTACTCGCAGACCTGAACACTCCCGCTGCAACGCTCTCCTCCATGTCATCGTAACCTGCCAGTGTCTCCAGTGCCCCGGTCGACTTTGAAAACGACGATTCTTCGACGGGCGTGACGCTGATGCGGAGAAATGGCGAGTCGAATGACTGAGATCGTATTCGCACTTTCGGGGAGGAGGGGGTCTGCGGTGCAACGGCAACAGTCGCCATATTGTAGCGGCTAGGGCGCGAAAATCCGTCTATGTGGCAACCATGGAAAAAACAAAGAATTGAAAGGGCCACAGATATATAAAGTATAAACATAGTCTACCCATCCCTCACTAAGGCTTATATTCATCATAGTTCCCTCGTGCATGCACCCACCCGGCTCGCTGGCCCTGCACCGCGAATCTGTGACCACGCCACGACGTTTGTAACCAGACGAGGCTGCAGTGCTTCAGAGGACCGTTTTTCGGACGAGGCGTACATGGCGGGGGAGGGGTTGGTGTTAGTGGGTGGAATATCATGACACTGCGTAAGCCGAGAGCTGCGACGGGTTGGTGCACCATGCATGGGAGACAGCACACTCCACACTTGGCGGTTAGTCCTCCAATGGCCATGAATCGATGAACACCAAGGTACAGGGATCGAGAAGTGTATCACGAGCCCAGGACTTACTGCTTCTTCGTTTCAAGTGTACCCGCTACGGTAATGCTGTTTGCAATGCTGTCGATGTCTCATTAGTAGCTTGCGACCAGATTTCATCATACAGTGGAGTAGCGTGTCCGGATACGAGCAACACATTGTCGCGACTCCTTCCTTGATTTTTAAAAAAGACCCATTCTCGGAGGACAACGATGCACCACGATGGACTTGATAAGCATAAGTGTTGTGTGACGTGGTGGACATAGTATGGCTGCACTGCCGACGATGGTCTTCATTTGTCAACAACGGTGCGGGCCGAGCGCCGCAAAGCAACCATCGTGATGCAGAAAATCATTGAACCTGTCGGTAGTAGAAAACGTCAATTCATTCGTTGGAACAAGTCGAAATTTGAATGTGTGATTTTGGTACAGGCTGTATTCGGCCAACCCTAACCGTGGCGCATCATTTCACCCCATATCGTGCATTGCCGCATGAAGTGTAAACGTGAAAGCCAATGAAAGCCGTTTGATAAACACCGTAAGTGCACCACCCATTTCGTAAAGGCATGTCCCAGCCCCAGCTGCCCAGCGCAAGCGAAAACATTTATCCCTTCTTCTTGGAGACACCGACGGTTCGGCCGCGGCGACCGGTGGTCTTGGAGTGCTGACCACGGACACGAAGGCCCCAGTAGTGACGGAGACCACGGTGAGCACGAATCTTCTTCAGGCGCTCAAGATCTTCACGAAGCTTGGAGGCAACACCGTTGGCGAGGATCTGGCTGTTCTTGCCATCGACAATATCGCGCTGCCTGTTGAGGAACCAGGAAGGAATCTTGTCTATGTGTGTGTCAGCGATAGTGCAATGGAAATAACATTGGCCGCTGCGTACACTGGAGAGGGTTCTGGATGATGGTGACGATGCGCTCAAGCTCTTCGGAGGTGAGGTCACCGGCGCGCTTGGTGAGATCGACATCGGCCTTCTTGCAAACCAAGTTGGAGTAACGGCGACCGACACCAGTGATCTTGGTCAAGGCGTACATGACCTTCTGCTTGCCATCGACGTTCGTGTTCAACAAACGGATGATGTATTGGAAGCTGTGCAAGTCAGCATTGCTCTAACCGTGCGAGAACGAGTCAAAATCGACATCGCCTATATGCGTGTGCGCAATTCCATTCTCACAGCCACCAGCTATCGCAATCCGCCTGTCCAGTCCAACTAGCATGCTCAATTTTTTCCAACTCTTCCAGCCAGATCCTCATTATCCTATCGAACACGCCCTGCACACAAGCGTCTACCGTTGCTCTTCTCACTGGCTCTTGCACGCCATTAGACTAGGGAGGCGGATTGACATAACGGGTAGCTGATATCGAAGCGGGCATTGCGGCAAGCCGGAAGCGACGAACGATGCGTGAACTCTCAGGATGGTATCTTAACATACTTAGACTTCTCTCCGGAGACGAGCGCTGTGCGATTGTCAGCATGTCTGTACTATGCGTGTCGGGTCCTTTACCACTGCGACCCTGCCCTCTGCGCGAGCGGAATGATTTTCGCTCGACACACGAGAGAAGTCGCAATGAGCAAGGGGCTTTCAAGCAAGCAGGGTGTACTCACACATGATGGCGGCTTGTCGTACGTCGATGTGGTGTTGTCGATGCTCTGTCGAGTGGATTATCGAAAATCATCAAATTCACCAGCAAGCGAGTGGGAGCCAAGACGGCGGCACGTGCGCCAAGCTAGTCCTGTTCCAGTACTAGCCCCTTCGACACCAGCTCTCCAGTTATTGCATGTAAGCCCTTGTGTTGGACTACACTTTGAGAGCCACTTAAATTTGTTCCCACATCGTACTGGTGGTATGAATTGAACGATATTCTTTTGTGGCCTTCCATCCAGAATGTCACCTCACCGCTCTTTCTTGCTTTGCTGCTTGTTCAGTCCAGTGGTGGGCTGTGCAAAACGAACTTAATGGTGCTGCCTAGCAATGCGCTTCCAGCATTTGATCCATCTCAACTTACAACAAAAAACAGTAAAACAAGGCACGAGACTAGCCATGTGAGTGAATTCACGTCATGGCAATATTGCTGCCTGCATAGCCAGGCTGACACTCTCCAGCCACATCCCGCTGTCGCGCGACAAGCGCCTCTCAGGTGGTGGTGCAGTTTGTACTACCTTCAATTCATGGCCCCCAACTCACTCTTCTCTGTCCGAAAGACATGGCCTGCCATCGCACTTTGCTTACAACGCCATACTTGACAAACCTGTCATTCTGGCCTCAAAAATCAATCCCAGGAATCTCTTTTGGTCATAAATTCAAGAGTGTTACCCAGTTGTCCTTGTTCAGAATTTCCTCATTGTGTCATGTGTGGCTTCGGCCCCTGCCAATCTCCGCGAGCTGGAGCTTACCCATGCGACTGCGCCACACATTTAGCCCCAACAATTCACCTCGAGGCGTCCCGCGCCTGAATGTAGGCAAGGCCATCGATAGTGGTGGGAGCAGGGTATGCCAAACTACTTCTTAAATTCTTCAGAACACCCACCGAACCAGTTCCCGCAGCTATTTGACCGTCTCGCCCTACCCTTGGACTACCCGTTCTGTTTTTACTGGCCTTATTTCTAGACGTACATTCAACTCAACCTAAGACCCTTCGTTGTTGGCTATCCAGGATTTCACTACTATTCTTTCTTACTGGATCAACTCATGCATCCATCGAAGGTCTCTTCTAGATATTATAGTCACGGAAGCGGACACACCGCTTAGCCATCATGTCCATTGGACCTGGTTCTCCAACGATGACCTCTCTGTCTCCTGCAAATACATCTGTCGGCACCACTCATGACACTGGCTCTTCGGACGCGATACCTCATATGCCTGGACTCACTAGACAGGACACAAACTCTTCTACTGGAAGTGCACTCAGACTACCCAATGGAAATTGGGCATTCGAAGTCAGTGGGGTCTGCCCAAGTTGCCATCATCACCACAAATCGCTCCGGGTACACGTCAGGATCGCGAACGATTTTACCCAGGTTCGCGATGTCTACTGCAAAAGGTGCAAGCGCTTATTGTTGTCTTCTGGAAACGCCAACGCTACGCGGCTATCTCTTCTGTCTACCATGAGTCTAGATCCAGATCCCATTGAAACCGAGTTTCGTACCACTTTGATTCATATGATACGGGCTTCTACTCCAATCGCGATGCTCTCTCCTGTCCTCACAGTCATTCCAGAAGTGACATCGGCCGGTCCATCACGGGAGACTTCAATCCGTTCCAGGTCCGGCAGAAGTTCCCGAATGCCTACAACAACCTTTGAAGACAATCCCTTGCAGAAAACAGTCCGCAGTGTCGCTGACTACAAGCATAATAAGAACTCTTTAGTCGAGAGCCGGCGAATAGTTTCCAATATTACGCAAAAATTCAGAACGAGATTCTTCAAGTCGCGAAATATCCCCTTCAACCTTGGTAAATGGTTTTCGAGGAAGGAGAGCCCAAAGTACGACAGCCATCATCAGGATCCGGCATGCGCACCGATCAGCGTTTCCACTACTATTGAAATAGCGCCATCCCTTCGTGAGGAACATATGGGATCACCAGAGGAGGTCGACACCAACTTTGATTTAGCTGCACTTGATGTATGGACCTCATCAACCACTGCTGCGGATGCACTGGCTTCACTGAAAACCTTGGACCCTCAGGTCCTGCGAGCTTTGCCTCCCCAGAAGCGAATTTCATGGGGTCGTAAGCAACTCACCGAATTCAAAACTCGTTTCTCTGGTGTCGCGGCTCATGTAGCTCCTCCTGGCATGGCCAATACCGATGGTGTCACTGAACGCGGAGAATATCTACATTGGCTAGAAGGCGTATCCCCTCGACGCCATTCCATCCTGGCATTTATAGGGGGCGGAGTTCACTCCTTTGAGGATAACGACTTTCGCAGAGCAAGTGATCATACACTCAACGGTCGCCCGCTAAGCATGAGTGAAACGCACCTTTCGGAAGCTGATACCCTTGTTGACGGTGCAAGCATCTCCTCTGTACCACGTCATCTCCTCGCCGAGACCCTACACCGAGAAAATCGCAGATCATTCCCACCCCGCCCTCTTTCCATCGATAACGTTGTTCACGACTGGTCACAAATTCAGCGAAACAGAGCCGAGGCCCGGAGATCCATCGACTCAACCGCAACTGGAGGTGCTGTTCGAAGCATTGCTGCAAGGAGCCATGCTTACAATCGCTTATCCCGCAATTCAATAAACCGTGCTTCCTCTTTCTACGGTACAGAGCCAACTACCTCGCGAGATCAACTCCAAACCAGTGAAGAAGCTGAGCATACTGACGCTGGCGCTAACGCATCACTGCGTCCATGATCACTTTCCCCATCACCACCGAAACTCTAATTGGTATAACGTCGCAACGTGAATGAACTCGAATGGTTTGTCCCAATCTTTCGGTCTCTTGTTTTGGAAATTCTGGGATGAGTTTTACATTCTCTTGGTTATTTATTGGATTTTGCAATTTCTGCTTGCTCTCATCAACTAGACCCGTTATAGACCAAACTGAGTTTCTTTCCTACTACCTACGCTGCTGGAACAGTGTCCGCATGACATTTTAGAACACAATCGCTTATTTGGCCAATGAAATACGCATTCCAACCAAAACCTCGCAATTCAGTCATATCAATTGGTAATGATGTAGCTTTGTTTCTCTTTCGCACAGTTTCTGAGGTGAGTAGGGAACTCTGACTTCTACTTGAGTCAGGCTTTTCGTATAATAATGTAATGAATAACGATTATCAACTTTCAACATGATGCCCATCATAGTTGAGAATGAGCTTGAGTTGTTTAATTATCTAGTATGCAAGTTGGAAATAATAGTTACTAAAATCTCACCTATCACACAAATGTTGACTTCCAAGGACATCAGACCGTCATACAAGATGATGGCTGAGCTATCGACTGTAGACTTACCCATCATCGGCTTTTTTTCAATAAAATTTGGTCATTCTATCAAGAAGCATAGAGTTAATAGAGTAGAGAAGAAATACCATAAGTGAATAACATATGTCATTAAAACAGTGGACACATTACACACTTGCGTCACGAGTTACATTTTCAACCTTACACAAAATTTCCCGAACTTTCACAGTCAGTTCAATAACACGGAAAGTTTATCACAATATCGACATCTCTGCAAATCGAAACAATGAAAAACAGGCATTTACATCTCGAGTACACTGTAGAAAGATAAGTATCACACTCGGTCAAAATCCTGCATTAAGTTGTATGGAAACGACGTACGTCTCCTAGGGAGCACTGGTAAATGTGACCGCCGTGTACGCAGCAAAACTTATATTGGGTTCCGCAAATCTGTTGGTCTTTTGTGAACAAAGTAGTGGTGAAGAGTGCACACCAATGTAAAGGCCAAATATATCGCGAGTGTCAACGGTTCTGCGCACGACTATAACTCTTTTTTTCAGTCGCATAAACCATCCTTCAAGCAGTCTTCTCTGGCGATCGCCAAGATATGTTGTAACGAGATCGAAGGACTGCTTAAAATGGCATCAGCTGGTCCTGATGCTGACAAAGTTGCAGAGACAGGGGTATTACGAGAGCCAAGGCCAAGACTTGGATTACATGATCCGGTGTCTTACATCGATATGATTTTCACTACCACTACCAAGAGCTGAATGCTTATTAACACGTAGCCAAGAACAAACTTTACTTTGACTTGGTACTTGTGACTTGTAAAGGCGGTGTCATACTGTGAGGCTGAAGGACTTCAGAGGGTCTTTTTACGACAACATCGGCTAGCGAGGTGAGCATCGTGTATTGGTGGCTTCTTGATCTACTGGATGATAGCTTTCACGATGACTTGGGTGTGTTATGGATGTGGAGAGTCTGACTGTTAAATTAACAGACACACATGTTTGTCATGACGACCCATGAAAGTGTAAACATAGAACAGAACTTTGTTAACAAGATCTTAATGTAGAATATATCGAGAAGTGAGATTGACAGAGTCCAAGAGCTTCAGAGTCCGATGTATGTAGATGACTCGATTGCTCTTGTCCAACACCTATATAAGGTCAACAGTGCCACTTCATTCCACAGCATCAACCATCAACTATCATCTAGCCACCAACCAATCCTTTACCAAAACCTCTTCATTAACAATGGCCCAAGTCCTCGGTGTAGTAGCCAACGTCCTCGGTGTCTTTGGCTTCTTTGCTTCCTCTTTCCAAAACCCCAACCCAAATACCTGCAACGTCCGCGTTGCAGCAGCCCTGAACGGTCCCGATCTCAGCGGTGCTGACGGAAGCATCCAAGCAGTCCGTATTTACAATGAGAACCAACAACTTATTGGTTCTCGAGGCGGCGGCTACATTGGCAGTGGCGGCTTCGCTGACTTTGGCGTCCAACAATCTAACAACCAGCAAGCCATGTTTGTCCAGATCCAAGCCACTAACGACGCAATCTGTATCCCATATGCAACTACTACCTTCGTAGATGGCGCAAAATACGGTTGGATCGGTGATTGGGGCGCCTTCTGCGGCTTGAACTGGTACTACGGTAACGTCGCAGTAAGTCTCTTCTGCCACCAAATATCCCACTTTATCTTTCTTTCCGCGTACTAATGAGCAACATAGGTTGATGGCAGCTAGTAAGCATCCACTCATCAGCTACAACAGTAAAGTCACCAGACCACTAACTTTTTAACCAACACAGCAAACCCAAATGTACATGGATCGACAACGACCATACCAACGACTTCAAAGCCGGCATGCTAATGATCCACTGGATCGACTTCACCAATAAGAAAACCCAAGGCTCCCGCCCAGCCGACTACTGCCGCTACCCAGCTTTCCGCGCCTACACGCCCGAAGGCGGATCCATCTTCAAACGCGATGTCGCCGATGAGCCTACGATCGTGGACCACAGACTCGTCATTAGTTCCGAGCCTGGCCACAACGCGACTGAACTCTGTGCCAGCGACACTTCGCGTGGTCCGGACTTTGTCTCTCTGTTCGAAGGTATCTATTGCAACATGGAGACTCGCGAGACGGTGCCTGTTTGCGACACGAGTGTGACGGAACTTTGCTTTAATGCCGAGGCCAAGCAGCTGCAGAAGCCGGATGGAAGGTTTGAGCAGAAGAACTTTACTGAAGTCATCGCATGGAACTGAGTGTGATGGTTGGATTGACAATGCCAGATTTGGCGGCTTCGGCACGGCTTGGTGTGCGCTTGTATATATACCATCACACCGTTGAATTTATTCATAGTTTTCTTTTGTACTTAGACGGCGCAGTTAGATTACATTCGTTTAGACATTGGGAATTTCGTAACTAGGACTTTTATCTGAATGATTTTCTAGGCTAAACATAAGTGTTTGATCCGTGTTCAATAGTAAAGTTCTCGTAGGTGCTCTGGAAGCCACGCACGAACACTGTCTTGAACCGAGCCCTACGCCGCCGATTTCGATACCTTCCCCTTTGAGCCACCTCCAAAAAGAAAAAAAATATGCAATCACAACAAAAAACATACAACAGCGGGGATTCGCTAGTGGTCACCCACCTAACTACTAGTCCGCCGGTCAAAGACTTAACGTGTGGAGAACGAACGGGATCCAGTGCTCAATTTTGCCGATGGTCGTATGTGGCAGAACAAATTCGATTGGAAATTTATGTAGCAAGTCAAAATGAGAAAAGAGCCCAATATTTGATAGTCGATCAACCTACTAGCAGAGTGGACTTATGACTGGCTACTTTGCCTGCACGTTGAGTTTCTTCGATGTCTCAGTGACATATCCTGACGGTCTTGACGCTTCCTTATATCTTGAGGAAATGATCCAAAACCGAAATAGATACTAGGGGGTATTCCATACATTTCAAAGTTGTTTAAAAATGAGTAAGGACAATGGCAGAGCAAAAGAAACGAACATATGAACAGAAGATTCGATACATCTCCACTCTTCTTCTTCCCATGACCCTCTAGCACGCCTACCAATCATCAATCATATCATTGAACTCCTCACTTTCAATATCCATAACCTTCCTCGCGGCCTCGCTTCCACTAACAGGCAGCATCTCAAGGCCTCCATCGCCATCTTCATCATCCCCGCTCTTGGCCTTGCCCTTGAACTCCTTCGGGACCTCCTCTGGATCTAGCAATCCAACTTGGAAAAGCACACTAGCCTGATCCCAATACAGCCTCTCGCTCCAGATCTTGCCGGCACGGAAGCCAACAATGCTAATAACGACAATTTCGACTTTTTCGTTTGTGGGAGGGACGCCCGGTAGGATCCATGGCATCTGGCAGGTGTGCTTGAAGTTGAAGTAGATTTCGTCGACAATACGGTCGGCGCCTATAGTACGCGAGATGAGACGCATGTGGAGGGATGGCGGACAGCTTCTCAGGAAGTAATCCCGGTAGAAGCGTTTGAGGTCGGACACGCCGATACCGCCTGTCATCGTTGGGGTAAAGTTTATGGAGGGCCTAGGGCTCCGAGTATATGTTTCTAAGAGTTTGTCGACTGCCTTGCCATGGAATTTTTCTGTTTGTTTGTTAGACCATTACCACGGGAAAGTTGCCGAAGGAAGGACGCACGCTCTTCGTTCTGTTCCAATACTCGTTCCAAGTCAACTTCAGCACTGAAGCCTTTTCTTACTGTGCTCAAACTTCGGCTCCATGCCAGCGCATCAGCGACGGCGTCATATTCGGGCAGATCATGTTCGGCAAATCCAGCGTCCACGCCTTCGTACGTGAAGCAAGGATATAAAATTTTGTCCTGCAAACCTCCAACGCCAATGCCAGGTGTGACGCGCTTCTGCACCGTTTTCCGCTTGCCCTGGATGCCGAGGACTTCTGGGCGGCGCACCACGCCCACAGTGCACTCATTTCCGGATGCGCCCTCTGCGAGGTGTACAAGGACGCGGAAAGAGGAGGTGAAGCGATGTCGTGTGTCGGGAATCGAAGTCGGGTAGTAAGCGATGAGGGAACAGAGTTTCGAGGTTGCGGCCCTGGGCTCCGAAAAGATGTCTAAGCACACAGCAGCTGCGTCTCCAAAAGCTGAGAGTTTACCGTCAGTGAATGTTTTCTCGGGCTGCAACTAGCAGGCAGTGGTCGTTTCCAATGCGCAAGACTAAGAAAGGGTCGTATACCTACGATAGCGTAACGCTCTCCGATACTCATGTTCTCGCCCAGCTTATGGAGTGTCTGCACATACTGCTTCCCGCCATTGCCCATGGGAATGTATTCAACGACGAAGCCCTCGTCGCGCCATGCCTTCATAGTCTGGACATCAAACTCGGCATCTTCAGCGGTAATGTAGAGCAGCGGCGTGCTGCTCCTAAAGGACAGCCAGCCATTGCGGTCGGCAAGGAATTGTTGCGCCATATCGTCGAGGTTGGTGTTGCTTGAAAAAGCGTTCGCATCAGGCGCTCCAGTCAGGCCAGGATTGTTGCAGCTCCACTAATATCCGTGAGGCTTGCCCGGTTCTGCGCTGGTCACATCCGGTTTCCGCTGCAGGATGGTCAAGGCTGCCTTCCGAGGCAGAAACGAAAGTTGAAGATGTATTCAGCGTACAACAGCACGCGAGACACGCCTTATCTTATGGCGCATTGTCGGCTCGGGCACACATCAAACCCTGTTGTACTGTGTTGGAGACGGGGTCTAGTGGAGGCGTGCGCGCGGCCTCGGACTTGCTTATGACGTAACTGGAGACATGCGTCCGCCTCGGGTTTAGCAGTGCCACTAGGGGCCGTCGTCAACACCACGAAAATAGCCAATCTTTGTTAAGAGCTAGGCTTTGCCGCAGTTTTCTTCCGTGCATAGCCAGGGCCTGCGGGTGCCGGGATATTTATTTGGGCCCGTGATACCGTGGAGCAGAAAACTGTTCCTGGTCATTAATATATATTATTCCTTCTCAAGGCCAAAGTATATTTCTGAGAAGCACACCGTGCAAACTTATGCAAGCATATTCACGAATTTGAAATGATAAAAATATATCGATATGAGAAGCCCAACTAAGTATCAGTCCGGAATCCTGCCAAGTGGCCAAAGCCTGAACATGCGACAGTGTCCGCCTCCTTCTGGCACCCAATTCCCGCAACACAGGTATTGCATGAGTCAGCCACCGAACAAAGTCCCTCGATCGACATACATATAACGCAGGTTAGTAAGGATTGTCGTAGTATCAGGTGGCCTCGGTGGCTTCATTATGCCGACTCTCTTTATTGAAGAACCCAAGGTTCACCCGCATGGCCCGCAATATCTGCCTTCTTGATTAGCGCCATTTCCCAATCGAGCATGAGTTACGAACGCCTTTGCAAGCTTTCCTTTGCTTCACGTCTGCTATCTCTTTGACCTCTTTGGTTTTCATCTCCAGCCATTCTTCCGGCGTACCATCAAAGTAATAATTCAGCTGCTCTGAAAAGATCCATTCGCTGTCATCGTCCATTGGATTGAAGAAATCGTACCCTAGTACCCTGACGTCCATGTTGGCGTTTCGGAACCTAGCAAAAAAGGGTCTGATAGTTTCGAGGACCTCAAATAGGTTCTTTTTGTACTGAATGCACCAGGGTAGATATATTTTAACCTTTAAATGCCGATTGCTTTTGAGCATGAGTAGGCTATCGAGACTGTCTTCCAGAGCCGTTTTCGCAAGTCTTGAAATCCCCAACCCGTAGGGTGAATCTTCGTGCACACTTATGGTAAGGCTGTTGATAACCTCTTTGATGGGAAAACACATGGGTCCGAAGCGGTTACGATGGAGGTGGGCTCGAACACACCGGTAATCGATTTCAGCGGTTGTTATAGCCCTGAAGTACCTCGTTGCAGCCTCAGAGGCAAACTCGATGCCCACAGATTCGGAATTAGCGAACGGTGGTACAGAAAGACATGGCAAATCAAGGATGGGCTGTTCAGACATCTTGACTGCATCAGGGATTGTTGAAAGAGCCGCGTCGAGACGTTCAGCATGTTCATCACCCCAAAGAAGATCGTAGCTATGAGCACAAAACGGTCAGCGGAGTTTCCTCGATAATTGCACCTTGCCAATTCCTATAAAAGGCCTTCCAATAGTCAATCTGCAGTTATGAGAGCTAGTGACACACATCTGATCGCGAAGCTCGCGTGGCAGTCTTGAAAGGATGAGCGATGTCAAAGGGAGACATAATTCTAGTTCGGAGCACGCAGTGGCAACAGAGTTTAGTTTTCTATAGACAATCAGCCATCAACCCACACATGATTTCTGTATGAATATACTCGTCAACAATGACCAGCCGTTTTTCGAGTTGCTGAAGCGTGGGGTCCATATCCATCCTTTGCTGATCTTCTTCAGCTTGAGCTTCTAGTTCTTCGTATTCATCGTCGTAAAACGACGTGAGTAAAGCTGTGGCCATTCTATCTCCATCGATTTCCTTCCAGAAAATCCCAAAGATTGTTTTCTTGCGTGCTTCAATTCTGAAAACATTAGCGGTATGTAACGATTTAAAGTCACGATATTCACAAACTCTTGCTTTATCCCAAGGTAGCTGGTCATGATGCTAGTTTAAATATTAGTACATTACGATCCATGGCTCCAAAGCTCCTTACGCTCTTCCTTCATCATACAAGCCAAGTAGCTTCATAGACTGATCATGATCGAGGCCCCAGAGCCTGCGATCAAGTCCAGAATTAAGTTCGCTATGGAGAAGTCAATCAGCTGTGATCGCGACACAAAAGACATGATTGATGGGAAGAACACCGTACTGGCGCGACTGGACAACCATGATTCTCGTCTAATAATCCAAATAGTGAATTGGGAAGAAAGAACAGAAGCAAAACTGGAGATGGCGTCTGTTATTTGCCTGTAAGTAGCTGCGGGGCGTTTAGGCGCCAGCAGGTCGTGATTGGTGGATGCAAAGGACGAAATACACGCGTTTTCACGTGAGCACATGCCAAATGACCTAACTAGTGAGGCAACTGCAACTGCGACAGTTCAATCTGCGGAAAGAGTGCGTTCGATTCGCAACAATCACTTGTGAGACCAGTACCATTGTTCGAGCACCGAATGTCTCACTAGAAGCATATTGTATTGTTACCGAATAACATATACCTTAAATCCCAAAGGAACAGTATAGTATCACACTGTCCCTGAAGTCAAGCAGCACGCACCATCTCTTCCCATTTGACAATCAAGAATCCACTCTTTACGACTTTGTCGGAGCCCCAAGGCTCCATATGTTTGTAAATTTTGGTTGTACAGACTTGCAAAATTACGTACAGAAACCCTATGCCTAGGCTTGCTGCCGCTACGAAAAACAACGCCCTCGCATCTAACCGGTCACCTGCCATTATGCGAAGTATTGAAAGCAGATACGACTGCCCCTCTTGCCTCGAGCCGAAAAAGAAACTCAAACACCGTCGTGTGCGTGCGTGCGAGCTATGGGTGCCTATCCCGCTCTTGTCGCAAACGCCATCCGATGCTTTTTAAACGCCAGGTTAAAACGCCAAGTAGAGTGTGGATCGAAAGAAAAATTAATGTAAAGTGGACGTGACCAAACCTATTTGTAGTGTTGTGTTTTGATGCGCAAAAATGCGCTCTTTTCCTACTTTTTTTACTGGTTTTCTTGTTAGAGGCCTTCGGTCGCACTGATACGCACCTGGAGCAGCGTCGGATGGCCGGTGCGGAGGTAAGCGTGTGTGCTCGGCGTGTAAACGAACCCTATTTCGGAGGGTAAGTTGCTAACAAGGTGGATCTTTGGTTGTGCATCAAAATGCAGCCGAAACTGAACAATAAGGAAACGTCAGAAACCCCAAGGTTGTAAGCAAAATGAAAGGGTGGAAGTATTGCGAACATGCGCGAGCTTAGCTGAAACAAAGCCTATGCTGCCGTTGGAGTGGGGACTCCATTGGCAGCAAGCTTGGACTGTTGGCGCTTTGCTGCAGAATGTTCGCTGTCCTACATTAGCACAATTGTCAGCATTTTGGTGTAATACTACTCCCGAGACACGGGTGAGCGCTGGGAGGATTTGGTGAGGCGTTCTTCACGCACGTCAAGGCCAGTATCGGCAAAGTGGCGCTTAGCACTTTTCGCGTCCTTCTTCTTTTTATCTTTGCTAGGCTTCTTCGGTCGCGTTTCTCCCGGCAGGAATACGTCGTCAGGAAGTGCAGTGCTACTTGGTCAGCGAATGGTAAAGCGACAGTGTTTGAGAGACTTACTTGCGGGTGTGAACCACTTTGACAGACATAAGCTTTTCGTCGTAGAGGTCTGAGTCTGTGATATAGCTCCTGAACTGACTGACAGGGTAAGATATATCGAGCGACTTGGTAGCGTCTATGGGAACAGTCAGTATGGTGAACCATAAAGTATGCAAATCGGTTAGGCGCACCAGGAGGTAAAGTGAGACCGATGTAGAAGGTCGTGGTGTAGATGATGTGAGTATCGTCGTCGGCTGGCGCAGTGCCGTCTGCAGGCACTTCAGAAGCTGGAATCATGTACTCGAGGGAACCCTGAGTAACTTCGTGGAACTGATCGTCTTTACAACGATGATACCGTTCGAAGTAGTTGATGTATGGACGTGCAGTATCGATACCAGTCTCTCCATCATCAATGCCCTTGACAATGTGGCGAATTTTAGACTGCACCAGTCCAGAGAATGTCGAGTTTGCCTCCTTGGTACGACTTGCAGCAACCACACTCAAGTAGTATTTGTGGTCTTTGGTAAAAAATGAGTGTCGTTCGAATAGTGCATTCCAATCTTTTGTTCCCGCAAAGATGTGCTGTAGGATCTTGTCCGCTCTTCCAAATTCATCCTTCATGATACGCAGGGTAGATGGCATGACAGTATGTGTGGCACACATGGAGGGGAACGCAGGCGTGATTATGGGCATGAGGTGTGCTCTGTCACCACCATATACCTGTGGATTCCATACCCGCAAACCCAAATCGCCTTCTTCGATATGCTTCAGCATGACCGGTCTCGGCCAAGTCCACTTGTACATTAGACTAAAGAACTTGGAAACAATGGTAGCACCATTTGCCATAGGGTAGAGTTGGCAAATGCGAGCAACCATAATAGCCCACGCGACACCACCAGGGTATCCGAAGACAGCTCCGTAGATGCCTCGACGGTTGGACCACAGCTTGATAGCCCTCAGAGCATGCCTGAAGCTAACTTTCTGCGGTACCGCATCCAGGAGCTCATTGGTGACTCTTGTGCCGTTGACACTTCGGGTTGCCGACTCCGAGAGGCCCTCCAGATCCTTCTTCTCAATAGTGTCCATATTCCTGGGTATCGAAGACCGCTTCGGCAATGACGCGAATAGCAAATCTATGCTCACTTCGCGGTATTCCATCTTGATAATTGGCACGAAGGCGTCTTCGACGGGTACGAACTCGTTGATGTCGTCGACGTTGGACATTTCTCGAAAGGTTGGAGGAAAGAATTCGAAAAACTCGTGGATGGCCACAAATTTAGGCGCGACAACGAGCGTGTCAATATCGGATGAAGGGCCATGGACACCAAGAGCGTAACTGCCGAATGTGAAGATCTTGCCGCCTGCAGCATCGATGACGGACTGCTGCACACCCTTTTGCTTTCCCACGCGACGGATGAATTCTTCTACGACTTTCTGGATGTGTTCGATAACTTCTTCCCTATATCGTGTCAGACAAGCAATACCGCATCCCCAGCAGACAGCGTGACGTACCTCCTTCGGTTGCCTTCTGGGGTTTCAAAGACGTTCTCTGCCTTGAGCGTCTCGATGAGCTTGTCGTTCAGCTTGATGTCATGCTCGGTAGGCGCGGCCTCTGAGATGGCGCTAGTGACACCAAATTGGCGGGATGGCTTCTTCTGGCCGTCCATGGTCGACGTGATGGGATGTGTGTGGGGAGTCGCGCAACTTCGGAGGTGCTGCGGTACGCTGATGTTTGGCGGATCCTACTGGGCGATCAGGCGCGTGTCGGAGCGGATTGTCGTGAGAGGCGGCTAGACTGGAGGGGTTCTGGTGATGTTATGAGCGCTCCCACATGGCGACGCGACTTTGTTTGATCCCGGGTCTGGCAAAGGAAATGAATGCGACAACAGAAGCCTAGGATGCATCCGTCTTTGGGACGAGTCGTTGCCAAGCCCACTAGGGCGCCACTGCAGTTGGTTCCAGGAACGGTCCAGTGCGTCGGCTCCTTCAACATCACCATGGCGAAACAGCTGTCGGCGCAGCTATCTCACAAAAGCGCATTAGTACTGCTGCCTCCGTCACGCATCACTGCGCCAATCGAAGCAGTACGACGTGTCTACGACAAGCAGTTTCTACGATGGCCTCCGCATATCAACTTGCTGTACCCTTTTCTAGCATCACCCTCCGAGTCTGGCAAACTCAAGCACGACATTCACATCCGAATTGAACAAGTAGCCCGCACCATACCCCCTTTTCATATGTCACTCGAGTCGGACCAACCCGGTGTCTTTCACCATAACCTCAAGAACAAGACCGTTTGGCTGGGCCCCACCACTTACAGTAATATCCGAGAGCTTCAGGCAGCTTTACACTCCAAATTCTCTGTAAATGGAGTTGACCGAGACCGCCGGCCTTTCATGCCCCATCTTTCTGTAGGAAAAGCACAAAGCCAGGGTGGCGTAGACAAGATCAGCGTAGAGATTGCAAAGAGCATTTCCGAGTTCCTCACACACAATGCAGAAAAAGATGACAAACCCACTGCCCTGGATTGGTATGTCGATAGAGTTCATGTTCTTGAACGCAAAGATGAAAAGGATCGCTTCAAGATTATTGGCACTATATCATTAGGGGAACCTTACACAGGGGTGGAGCAGGCGACAAATTGAGCCGGTTGATTCAATCAGGTTCCGACTACAGTGACTTGGGCGAGGCAGCATATACGCCTCATTTCAGTTATCAGCAAAGAACACCTTTAGTTGCTCATCCAGCCATTTGACGTCCTCTGTTGACTGCCCAGGTCCACCAGCCCTGTTTCACCCGTTAATCACGAAAACGTGGTTGCTTTTTAAATGAATAAACTCACCAATGGCCCCAAATGGATGGAAATATTTTCAGTGTTCCTACGCCAGGCCTCATGTTCTGAACTTCAATCTCAGAATCCTCGGGTGGGAAGTAGAGATCTGTTTTCGCTGGGAGAACCAACGTTTTCGCCTTGATAGCCTCCATGGCCTTCTTGAAGTCACCGTTATACGGTTCTTGTTGTGAGCAATCTCCAGCTTGCCATGTGTGTGCCATTGTGAGCATGTTTTCTGGATCTTTCGACAGCGCCCATGATTCCCAAAAGTTCACGAGGAAGTCATCCAAGTCCTTGTATCCAAGCGTCGGGGCACTCTGATACAACTTCTCGCGATAGAAGCTTTGAGAGAAACCCCAACCAGCGTAAACGCGCCCAAGGGCCTTGAGGCCAGCTTCTCGTGTCTCGGACGAAAACGCCACTTTCTTTCCTTGGGCCGTGTAGAGATCTGGTTTCGAAACGCCTGCTGAGCTGGTACCTAGCGCAGCGTAAAGACTGCTTTTGACACCCTCCAGGAAGACCTGGTTGTGCAGGCTTGTCTTTGCGCTTCCGCAAAACGGCACAGCGAGATCCATAAAGTCGGGAAACTGTGTGGCCCATTGATACGTCTGCCCAGCACCCATGGACCACCCGAGTACTGCACGAGCATGTTTGATACCTAAGTGCTTCGTCACAAGCTCATGTTGCGCGCGCACATTGTCGTAGAATAGTACCTCTGGGAAGGGACGTAGAGCTGGCATGTTTGATGGTGAAGAGGATTGGCCATTGCCAAACAGAGCAGGCATGATAATGTAGTACTTGGATGGGTCGAGTGTTTTGCCTGTGCCAGTGAGCCAGACATTGTCGGATATCGCTGTGCGGATCAATAAGCAATTGCAGCATCACAGTTTGTTGTGCAGTGCTTACTTCCAGAATACCATGTTGGATAGATGACGGCTGGCAGTGAAGGGTCACCCAGTGTCTTGTATGCGATAAAAGCATCCGGTATTTCACCTCCAGATTTGAGCTTGAAGTTACCTAGATTGTAGGTTTGGTAGTCTTTGTCCGAGGACATGTTGAATTCGATTTCAAACTTCACAAATCGCAGACAGAAATAATGGAGAGAGCCTCCGAGGCATCAAATGTTCAATGTGCTGCAGGAAATGAGATTGATCATCCATCATAGCGTTTTCAACCGGAAGCTTTGGATAAGCTGACCTCCCACTAAGCATTGGTGCTGTTATCATTCGTAGCGGGGTAGCTCAGATACATAGCGGGGTAGTACATAACGTTGATAATCCTTCGGCACCGTCATTGGGGAACGTGTCCCGCGTATAGCCGTTTAGACAAAATGATTATATCAAACGCTCCAAGAAGCGGTAGTAATGCTGAAAAGCTTTCTCACAAAGTAGCCATATTTGAATAGCCGTCTGGAGAAGCGATGCAGTGGCCTTTCCCGGGCGGCATTCCGCGGCTGCCTTTGACTTTTCCGTAAGTAGGCCCCCCTCCGGGCTAAATATCCACCCGGTATTTGCCGCGTCTCCAACACACTGTAGCCGCTTGATCATCACTTAGTAAATCCCTCATTGGCGTCATACTATACATCGATGAAAAGGGCAATCTTAGCCACACGACGGCCACCCACCTTGACTTTGGCAACTCGTATTGAGCACCAACGTCCTTACCTCTGCTTTCCAAGGAGAGCATACCACAAAGCAACTCACCAATCCCCCACCATGGCCGCCGGACGCGCAGATGCCGAAAAGGAAATAAAACGCAACCCACACGGAGACTTCAAAGCAGTCGAGGCCTCGCGCCCTCCCTTTGACAAGACAACTTCTTTTCACTATACGCAAACACCAAAGCCTGACTGGACACCCGGCAGCGGCCCTAACGACGCCTCAAACCAAGGAAAATCGCACCGTTCCATCGCACCCTACGAGCAAGGCCGCCCCGTAGTCCACAACTACAAGCTACTTATTTCAGCCATTATCCCACGCCCTATCGGCTTCGTCTCAACCATTAGCGCAGACGGCCAATCAACCAACCTCGCACCGTTTAGCTACTTCAACCTCGTCAACCACGATCCCCCCATGTTCGTCCTCGGCTTCGCAGGTGGCATGGACAAGGCCAAAGACACGCTTAAAAATTTGCTCGATACCAAGGAAGCTACCGTTAATATCATCTCAGAGCATTACATCGAAGCTGCGAATGTTGGCAGTATTAATGCACCGCCGGGAATTAGTGAGTGGTCGTTTAGCGGGCTCCATCCTGAAAAGAGTAAGATTGTGAGGCCGGATCGCGTCAAGGAGGCTGTGTTTAGTATTGAGGCCAAGCTGGTTGATAGTGTGGAGTGGACGAGCAAGAACCCGGATACGCCCGGCAAGAAGACGGGGGTTACGGTGTTTATCGAGGGTGTCAATTTCTGGGCGAGAGAAGATGCGATTGATGAGCAGGGTGTGCTTATAGATCCTGCTGTAAGTTTTATGCTTGAGTGACGCCCGTGTGGGCTTGCTGCCGTGTCTGACATGGGCTAATTTGTTTGCTTTGTTTAGGTTCTCAAGCCCATTTCTAGGTTGGGTGGTATTACGTATGGGCGCACGACACAGGCGTTTGAGCTGCCTAGACCGGATTATGACGAGATTACCAAGGATCCAGAAGTGAAGAAGTTGGCGCTGCCAAAGGGCAAGGGCCAATTGTAGACGCACATACTCGCATCTAGACAGTTTGATTTTGAACAAGAAAGGGCTAGAAGAAGAAATATACGCTCAAGAATTCTTTTGTTTTTAATTGATATTACGCATTCTAGCCCCCATCATGTCTCCTCATTCCTCTTTTTTTTAATCCGCCAAGACTTTACTAAATCAAAAGGAGTTCTTCACCTACTCCTGTCGCTCCTTGGCATCATCCACCGCTTTCCTCCAATCATAGAACTTCATATAGACGCCCTCTGAGATAGTAATGCATGAACTACCCACAGCACATCCAGTCCAGAGCCCTACCAGCTTCAAATCGTGTGAGAAGCAAAGGAAAAGGGCCAATGGTACAGCAATAACGTAGTAAACGAACAGGTTGCAAACACCGCCGATACTCTGCTTACCCAATCCACGTAGCAGCGCATTGACCATTGCAGTCGTCGAGTCTGCAAACTGGAAGGTAGCGAGCAGGGGTAGCACAGTAGCAACAATGCTCACGACTTCAGGATCGCTACTGAAGGCGCGCGGCAAGATGTTGCGGAACGTTGTAAGGAAAGTAAAGTCGATAAGCCCGATTGCGAGAAAGGTTGCAACGTAGGTTTTGGTGGCAGTCCGGGCTGCAGAGAGGGAGCCTGCGCCTATGAGATTGCCCAAGCGGGTTGAGACTGCGACACCAACGCTAAATGGTACGTGATAGATGGCTACAGCGAGAGTCATGACGCTGCAAATATCGAATTAGTATCGATTAGAAGAATGTAAAAAAGCGTGACAACTTACATTGATTGGGCGGCTAGATGGGCTGTGGAAAGATAGCTCGTCGAGAAAGTGAGAATGTCCTGGGGAGATTAGCATATTGGACATAAAGTTTTGTAAACGAATGACATACGAATGCAAGCCACTCTGTTTCCACCATGATAATACCCGGCACTGCCAACTTGGCCATTGGTCCCCAGTTCGTAAACGCAGCTTTCGTGAAGCCGCCCCAACACTCCAGCGATGCGGGGTTCACAAAGTAAACATAGATGAAGAGGAGTAGTGGCAAAAGGTTGTTGGAAACAACGGTTGCAAGTGCGGCGCCAGTAAGGTTCCAATTACAGACGAAAACAAAGACATAGTTCAGGGCAATATTGACTGGTGTCGCAATGAGCAACACGAAGAGCGAGGCATTGAAGAGTCCCTGGGCTTGTGTGAATCTCTTGCCTGCTTCGAAAATTGCATATCCTGGTGCACCAGCAAGCAACAATGAGAGATAGTAGCCAGCAAGGTGAGCTAGTTCCTTTTCTGGAACAAGAGCTGCGAGGATCCAACCCGAACATAGCCAGATGGCGCCAATGGGAATGGTGACAGCGAGCATGAATAAGATCATACGTTGAAGATGGAGACCGACCATGGTCTTCTTACCAGATCCATAGGCCTGCGCGCAGAGAGTATCCAGGGATGTGGCTAAGCCTTCATAGACGGCTAGTCCAGTGATATTGGCGGTCATGGTAGCGAGAGAGACAGCGCCAAGTTCATCCGTCCCAACTGTATTAGATGCGAGTCAGTCAATGACCCAGGGGCTTTTATGCTCAGCACTTACTATGTCCAACAACGAAGATAGTCACCAAGCTAAATGAATACTGGAGTAGATACGTTCCCATGAGCGGAACGCTGTACTTGAACAACAACTTTGCTTCCTGGCGCGCCGTCGTCCCCAACTCTTCCGCCGTACCATCTCTTCCTAGTAGACTTTCAATATCGGTCGTGTCAGCAATAGCTCCATACTGATGCTGCTTTGCTGCGCTGTCGTGGGCCTTTAGCAGGCCGACGCGCTCAGCGGTGCTCGTGGAGAATCGGCGGGCCTCGGAAGGGTCCATTGTGTATACGGCGCTGCCGCCAGAAGTAAAGGGGAAAGGAACAAAAACCAGGGCTAAGGACGATATATCATAGTCGTAGCTGAGTGGCGCGTCTCTGGTGTGGTGATCGACTTTGTTCTGGCGTTTCGAGCTTACTTTTGGTTGCGGCTGCCACAGTGGGGCGAGGAGCTGAGCTTCTGGCCCCTGTGTCGTCAATGGCGCCATACGTGTAGGTATGGGGCGGCTTGTAGCGAAGCAGTAAAGCGCCGGAGAACTTAACGGAGAGTGGGCAGCATAATCCGCTTACAGGCGCCTGTGTGGGGGACCTCCGCGAACGTTGTCCAGATGGGGGAAACCTGGCGCAAGGTTTGCCCACAAGTGGGCTTAGGTTTGTTGATGGATGTGGGTGCGGAGACGAGCTTTTCTTTTCACTGGCACAGTCCGTAGCATGCCATGGTTGCCATGCTCAGCTACGATTGCCAGCCGCAATCGTGATCCAGACTTTGAAGGAGAGCGCGGACCGTGAAAGGCATCGGGCAATTTTCTATTGGCGAGCGCTCGTTTGGTAGATTGTCTATCTCCGAACCAGCCGCGTTCCGCGATGCGCTACTATCCATCGTCGATATATGGATGGCTGCTGAGAATCCTCAGTAGTCATCTCAAGGCTGGTACCCTTATTCTAGCCAGAGAAACAATAAGAGACATTACCGCGGCGGCTGAGTAGTGCAGAGTAGTGAGGGATGGTTGTTGGTGTTGTTATTCTCACGTGACCTATAGCTAACCGAGGAAGTAGATGCCTACATCTTGGCATACCTTTGATCGGTCGAGTATCAGCAGAGCTTCTCAGAGCCAGTCAGATTGCGTTTCTTCGTGCATTAGAGGCCCTTTGGAGGGACCGTACATATTTTATATGCAGCTAAAGATGCAATGAACCAGGAACAGGGCTGATACCCTCCCTGCATAACAGAAATTCTCCGCCTGTTGCAGGCATAGATGAATCGGACGTAGCGTATTGTGATTTTCCTAGTTGTGCGGCCAGCGCCCAGGTGTTCTCCAATGCATTGTCTTGCTTTGGTTGAACTGCTTGCGCATCAACTAATCAGCTTCTTAAATAATGTTCTGAGGCTACATCATCTCCCTATGGCTTTCTTCCTATGGAAAACAACCAAGTCAGAGCTTTAGCATATGTCACAAACTAATCTACAGAGTACTAAATACGCTTGAGCCGATACAGTGTAGTTGATGATGAGTAATTCGTAATAAGTGATCATTGCCAAGACCACATCACGTGATGTACTATATAAAGCCAACCGTGTAAGCTCTACAGTCCGAAGGCATTTGATTTCAAATTATCTGTATCTCGACACCCACAAGAATTCCGTCAATACAGACAGGTTCCCTATATCCTCCATCACTTCTACTCCCTTTGTTAACTTTCGAATACATAATAGAAGTACTATAATTCCCGATTTTAATATCTAAGCATGACTACAAATAAGAGTACTATTTTTTTACAAACAAGTTGGGAGTTCTAAATCCGGTATTAGATCCAGCATTGAACGGGGCAAATGTGAACATGTCTACAGCAGCCGGGAAACAAGCACCAGCTAGGTAAAATGAACGGCTTTAGATATTCCACCAAGGAATAAACAATGTGGGTGAGCAGGAGAATAAGATCCTGGCAAACAAACAAAAATGTCTGGAAATATCATACGCAACGAATCGCAAGATGGGGAGACCAATCAAGCTACCAAACGCAATCAGACGTTAGGCATTGCGAAGCAAGGAAAGCGTAAGCATCACAAAGCGAACACAAACCTGGGGGCTGACACGGCTTATTGCACAACTTCCTAGTGCTTACTGGTGAAATTACGGAAAACATCATTACCAGGTTATCATTCTGACGCCGAGAAGCTGTGAAACTCAATACTGAATTGCGGCTAATTGGCATACCACAGGCCCGAGGAGCTGTGACATTGGACTTTCTCAGCCTTTCTTTCTCAAAATAAATCTTGGAACCTAAACTTACAGGACAAACAATCATGGGCTTATTAAATTTTCTTCTTCTCCTCTGCTTCTCAATGATGGCCGAATTTTCAATGGAGTTCTTGGATAAAACACCACACCAGCAACCTGACAACATAACTAGTCCGCTACACATCACCAATGGCCACGAGCGACTTCGCATAGAGCCTTGGGGTCAAAACTCAATTCGCGTACGAGTATCTTTATATCGAGATGTGACAGGGAACGAGCTGGGTGCTTTGCTAGAAACTCCGTTGAACGAATGCGGTATGGAGTGTTTGGAAAGCCCTCTAAAGATATCTTATCACAACAACTCCGCCGTACGAAACGGCCTAATTGAAGTAACGGTTGCAAAAATAAGTTGAGATTTTGGCGAACAAAGGGCGTGAATCGTGAGCTCCTTTTTGAAGAGTTGTGGCCTCAGGTAATACAATTTTGGAAGCCAGTGAGAGATTTCGGGTACTTATTCAATTGAAAGCATGGTAGAATTGCACGCGACTGGTCATTTGATACGGCGGGAGTTACATCAAGGCCTTGTGCAACATTCTCTTTCACTATGGATAAAGATGAGCAGATTTTTGGTCTGGGACAGCACCAGACTGGGAACCTGAATAAGAAGCCAGGGCGAGCACTTCATTTTCCAGAGATTCTTCACGCGCTAACACAGGCAGAACATATAATTTCCGGCATTATCAATCCGAAACAACAATTCCATCTTTCATCTCGTCAAAGACTTATGGTTTCTTATGGAACGTTCCCAGCATGGGTCACGTAACCCTTGATGATAACAGAATCCAATGGGTCACGGAATCAGCGATGGTAATTGACTATGGTATGTCTGTGCCTGAATTTCTAACTATAGTTAACAAATTCTAGTTGTATCCGTGGCTGAAAAGGGCGACTTCAGAACACTTGTGGAAACTCATAGTTCACTAACGGGACGGGCTCCTTCTTTCCCACAGTATGGTCGTGGTTATATTCAATCCAAGACTGCATACATCAACCAAAATGAAGTATTACGTGTAGCGGAAGGATTTAAGAAGCATAAAATCCCAGTGTCAATGATTCAGATCGGTAAGTGTAGAAATCCTTAACTCTATTTCGCTTTCCAGAGCTAACAGGAATTTGGAGATGCACCTCACTGGCGCGCTTTTGGCGACTTCGCATTTGATCGATTGAAATTTCCTGATCCAGCCCTACTTGTGGAAACAGTTCGCAAATCGACAAATGGAGCACGCATTATTGCAAGTATCTGGCCCCTTATTGAACCCTCATCTGAGAGTTGGCTTGATTATTTGTCTTCCGGTCTTGTTGCTGGATCGACACAAGGCACTGGGGTAGTAGAGTTTTTCAATGGGACAGCTATGCATCTACTTGACTACACAAATCCTACCACCAGGAATAAAACTTGGAGCAAGATAATGGATAATTATTACAGATTCGGAATACGAGACTTCTTGCTGGATTGTACAGAAGGAGGTGGCGTCGGAGAAGTATGTCTAAGCGATCTATCATCCAAAACCTAATCTGACTTTAATAGGGCTTTTCATTCAAAACCATCACGATGTATCCTCTCCAAGTGGTACCTTATTCACGTCCAAAGCTTACTTACTCATTCGGTACTCATTCTGAGATTGGAGCAATTTTTCCATTCTATGCTCAAAAAATGATCCACGACGGTATGGCAACTCTGGGTATATTACCTGGAGATAACGAGGAGGATAAGGGAATGTCATTCTCTAGAAGTTCATGGCTTGGATCTCAACGGCTTTCCAGTGTCCTTTGGAATGGTGATGTTGATGGAAGCTGGGAGGCATTCCGTGCCCAGATAACAACAGGCCTCAATGTTCAAGTAAGTGAAACAAAACCACTCCAGGCAAACTTGACATTGACGGCCTACCCTCAGCTTGCTGGAATCACATGGTGGGCTTCTGACATTGGCGGCTACTACGCTCAAACAGAATACCATGGCAACATATCCGATCCACGATATCAAGAGCTCTATGGTCAATGGTTGCAGTACGGAACGTAAGAAGTCGAACGCACCTAAACCTAGGGTCTTGGCTGAATCAGATTCACAGATTTAGCCCAGTGATGAGAGCACACGGGCGGCGCAAGTGTCTTCCAAAAGACCAAGACGGATTCGACTCTTGCCCCAACGAGCCTTGGTCCTTTGGAGAAGCCGTCTTTCCTCACATCACGCGATTCATCCACCTGCGGTACACTATGGACCTTTATATCAAAGCCTTGTTCAAAGAAGCTAGCAGGCTTGGGACTCCGCTCCAGAGGCCACTTTTCTTTGATTTTGCCATAGTCGATCCGTATACGATCATGTACGCTGAGGAGCTCAAAAATCAATTTATGTTCGGGCCAAACTTGTTGGTTGCTCCTATAACCGACCCAGGTCCTTCAGAGTGGAGAGTATACTTGCCTATTGACACAATCCAGACGGAACAAAGCGACCACAGCGCCAAGACCACAGTGTGGAGAGATTGGTGGTCAGATGAAATTCACTATGGCGGGAACTTTGTTACACTGAACGTTTCCATAGCCAGAATGCCTCTCTTTTACCGAGGAAGTAGGAAAGACTTGTTGGCTGGAAAAATCATTGGTTGATATGTCGAAAAGTTTCGAAGGCTGCAAAGCAGTATATTCCCAGCAGACCTAGGAAAAGAAAACGAGATTGAGAAAAAAGTTCTCGGCCACAGAGACAACTACAGAAGAAGAGGAATTGACTATTTTACTAATTAAGACCACCATTGTGCTTGTATCTTCTCCGCAAGCCCGGGCGTTTCTAAATTATATAGAATGGCAGGCTTTGCAGATGAAAAGGAAACATTCTGTCACATCGAAACGAAAAAACGGCCTCGCTTAGGGAGATTCTGCCTAAATCTGCATCATGTTGCTCCTGTTCTCTCATATGACGAAGTGGTAGATGACAATACTGACTTTTCTTTACCTGTGATAACCCAAAGCTTGACGACGAGTGCCAATGTTGAATCTTTGGAAATGACAGAAATTTTCGTAGCTTTACAAACTGTCCTTTGCCCAAAATTGGTTACAGTATCATCGACAGAAAGCGAGGCAAAGACTGAAGTACGTAACCACTTGCCGGTGGTCCCGCCCATCTGACTACATTATGCTCAACGTTAAATCGGCTTATAAGAAACTTGCAGTACTACTCCAAGTTTGATGACGCGCCTGTCTACTACACTACTGGAGCCTTCTTCCCACACTATAAGCACCACCTCGAGGCACTATGGAAAGTCCCTGATGATCATAACACGCAGTACGACGACCCTCAGTACCCCTGCTGGTAGGTTACACATCCACATCGCGCTATTATAGCGATGTGGGAGAGCGCCGGCTCGTAATTTTCTATTCAAAAATATTCAGCAGTTTGTATCAAGTAATGGTAAGGAACAAATGGACGGTGTAGACTCTGCACGTGGTTTGCGAGCGATAAATCCCTCATTTTTATATCCCTCAAGCTAACACACGGAAACTGCCAGACGGCTGTGGTAGCTTACGCCAGATCTGATAAATCTCCGAATGATCTGGAGGTGCCTAATTTCCAATTGGCTCAACCAACACGGGCTGGTTTTGGTGTTTTACTATGAGGCATTTTCTTGGCCAGGGGACGGGAGGAAGCGCATGAAGCTGGTTGGTTGCTGACGACTCGGGCCGTTGATGATAGAACCATCTGGTGTAGCTTGTGACTTGCGCCACGGGCCGCTATGACAGCAAAAGCTTCATTCACGATTGCCGTCGGTCTAGGCCACAGAATCTCTTAGTGTACGATGACATGCTTGGCTTATTTGATCGCGCTTGATCGCGATGACAGAATCACACGAACTGGCTTGCGTTATTTTATCTTTCCATTCCTAGGAGGCTCTTTCTGAAGTGCACTTCCACACTGTACCGCCAGCCTAGCCTGCAGACCATCCTCAGCAATGACTTCCAGTAAGGGCAATGTGCCTGACGATCAAGAAGAGACCGAACCCAGTGCAGATATAAACGACATCGAGAAGCAAGAGAGAACGCCCCGTATTGTTTGGGAAGATGTCAGTCATCCCGGAAGGGGCCGTTCAGATGGTAGAACTGCTCGCCGCCAATCGCGCAGTAGAAGCCAAGGTTCTATTTCGAGTGTTCGAAGTCGTACACACTCTGTATCTGGCATCCCTATCGAGTTCCGCACACTTTCCATTCAAGTGAGCGAGAGCAAAGCCAAAGCAAGAGATCCGCCTTTGAAGCACACCGACGATACCAAGAACGCGAACAGCGATTACTTTGGGCAACTCGACTACCACACACTGAGTGCCAAGAGTGTCTGCGACCGCTTCAATGTCTTTCAGAAGCAGGGCCTCAGCAAAGAGGCAGCTGCTACACGCCTTCAACGCGACGGCAAAAATGCGATTCCTAGCCCACCTGAACACATGTGGCGGAAAATCTTCTGGTATGTGTTTGGAGGCTTCTGCTCAGTTCTATGGATTGGAGTCATCATCTTCTTTATATGCTGGAGGCCTTTGGGAGACCCTCACCCTGCAGCGTATAACCTGGGCCTGGCCATTTTAGTGCTCATCGTCATCCTCCTTCAGGCTTGCTTCTCAGCCTTCCAAGACTGGTCGACGAAGCGAACGATGCAATCCATTCTGGACCTGCTTCCCTCGGATGCGATGGTCCTCCGTGACGGCTCATTTGTCAAAGTTCCTTCGACCGATATCGTAGTCGGTGACATTGTTCGTATTTCCATCGGCGACAAAGTACCTGCCGACATGCGTTTGTTGACCTCTTCGGGCGATGTACGGTTCGATCGTTCAATGATAACTGGAGAAGCCGAGGAAGTAGATGGTGCGCTTGACTCTACGGACGAAAATTTCCTCGAGTCGCGCAATATCTCTTTCATGGGCACTATGGTGGTCAATGGCAGCGCTGTTGGCATTGTTGTGTTGACAGGAGAGAATTCCGTCATGGGTCGTATCGCGCAGGCAACGTCTGGCGTCAAGGAAGAACCTACTCTTATCCAACGCGAGATTAGTCGATTCGTCTATATTATCGTATGCTTGACGATATGCCTTGCGCTCTTGTAAGTTTGGAGACTAGACTATCCATGGAAAAGGCTGACCGTATAAAGATTATTATTCGTCTGGGTCGGGTGGTTACGAAAAGACCACAAGGGCTTCCTCTCCGTCATCGCCATGCTCAACAATGTCATGGGTTGTGTCGTCGCATTTATTCCCGAGGGTATGCCCGTTGGCGTAGCGCTTACGCTCATGATGGTAGCAAGACGCATGAAGAGCGCCAATGTCTTGCCCAAGGGACTATCTACAGTTGAGACTCTTGGATGTGTCAATGTCATATGTTCCGACAAGACGGGCACTCTCACTGAGAACAAGATGACCGTCACTTCGATAGGATTTGTGGACGAGCTGAAGTCTGCGGAGGACCTTGCGCCTATGCTCGCTTCTGAAAGCTGTCCAGGGGCTTTACAAGAGCTCCACAAGGCCGCCATCTTATGCAACGACGCCATGTTCGATCCTACAACCATTCAACTACCCGTGAGCGAAAGAGCGATCCAAGGCAATGCGACTGATGGAGCTGTGTTACGCTTTGCTGAAGGAGCAAAGCTAGGGCGTTCTCTCCAAGAGACTTTCCCTCGTGCCTTCTCGATCCCATTCAACTCAAAGAATAAATGGATGCTCTCGTTACATGAACAAGGAAAGAAATGCAAAGAATCGGAAAAGCCAGAATATCTGGTTCTTGTCAAAGGCGCACCTGATGTGCTACTCCCAAAATGCTCCTCTTGGCTGTCATTCCATACAAACACTGTCCAACCATTGGATAGTGAAGCGCAACATCTTCTATCACAGGCCCAAGAGAGACTCTCGCGCAATGCAGAACGTGTTATCATGCTCTGCCAGAGGCAATATAAGCCAATTGCATCACTGCGCTCCAACGCCTTTTCAGACGAACTTACTGAGCACGCGCTGACCGATCTCACCATCATCGGCATTTTGGGCATCCTTGACCCTCCACGTCCGGAATCAGCTGAAACTGTTGCAACGTGTCGCCGAGCTGGTATCAGGTTCTTCATGGTTACAGGTGACTTTGGTCTCACGGGAGCTGCCATCGCCCGGCGAATCGGCATCTTCTCTAGTGACAGAGAACCGGACACAATAGCGGACATCGTAAATCGCAATGCTTCTGGAGACGTGGCGACTGCGAAAACCATTTCTAGTAGCTCCGAAAACCAATCCCTGCTTCTTGAAGGAACGCAACTTGGCGATCTAAGCGACGCTGATTGGGACGTGGTTTGTCAATACGAGGAAATTGTATTCGGGCGCACAACACCTGAGCAAAAACTGCGTATTGTCAATGAGCTCAAGGGACGTCAAAACGTAGTCGCTGTGACTGGAGACGGAGTTAACGATGCCCCTGCCCTTCGTGCTAGCGACGTAGGTATCGCTATCGTATCCGGTTCTGATGTTGCCCTGGAAGCCTCCGACTTGGTCCTGATGGATAAGTTCTCTTCGATCATCGATGGTATTCGTCTCGGGCGACTTGTATTCCAGAACCTCCAGAAAGTCATTGGGTAAGTCCATTGACTCTAACAAGGCAATATGTGACTAACTCGTTGACCCAGATACCTCTTGCCCGCCGGGTCCTGGTCTGAAATATGGCCCGTTCTCCTGAATGTCTTCTTTGGAGTACCCCTTCCTTTGAGCTCTTTCCTCATGATTATCATCTGTGTTTTCACGGATCTCTTCTGCTCGCTCTCCCTTATTATGGAACGTGAGGAGTTTGATCTTCTCTCACTACCTCCTCGCGACACCAAACGCGATCATCTCATCAACGTCAAGATTTACATACAGTCGTATCTCTTCATTGGAGTGATGCAAACTGTCTGTGCACATTCCATGTTCTTCCTTTACATGTGGCGTCATGCAAAGATACCTGCTTCCGCCCTCTTCTTTGCCTACGAAAAGTACACCGACGGTTTCTATGGGTACAGCATGGACGAACTCAACCACTTCAACACCGTCGGTCAATGCGTCTATTTTGTTACTCTCGTCATTTTGCAATGGGGCAATATCCTATCTATCCGCAATAAGCGCCTCAGCATCCTACAGGCCGACCCGTTCCGCAAAGACCGACGTAATCCTTGGCTCGCTGCGGGCATCCTTGTCAGCTTGTGCATTGCCATCTTTGTAACGGAGGTTGAAGGCATTCAGAGCCTGTTTGGTACTGCTTCGGTACCAATAGAGTTCTGGCTCATTCCAATTCCATTGGCACTTGGTATTATAGTCATGGATGAGATTAGGAAGTTGGCTGTCAGGATGTGGCCAAATGGGCCCATTGCACGCATCGCGTGGTAGTTTTTGAGGACTTGATATGCCAGATAATCTTCTCGCGTGTATCATTATGCCTGTGTTTATTCATTGCCAGAAGGCTATAGTAAGACCAACAAACTAATACTTCGATTCTGCAGTTGAGTAGAACATGACTATGAGTTTATGGGGTATTGGAGTCTACCTAACTGGTAGCATAGCTTTTCTGTGCCCTAGCCTTCCATCTCGTAACCTTGTAGCGCACATTACATAAAAAAACGCCTACAT